TTCAGAACTGCCGCTTGGGTCAAGTGTGGAGAATTGTTGATTAGAAGGTCACCTCTCCGTCTCAGAGACATCCCAGAGGGGAGCTTGAGGGCAGAAAGAGGTCACTGTTTTGACCAATAGCGCAAATATTTCCTTCAGATAAAAAAAAATCACACGAAGCACCATTTTTTATAGCGCCATATGTTCTTCCCTGGGCTCTCGTCATAAGTGGTGAATGCCCTTCCCCTTCCCCTCCATGGTAAGGACAGCAGAGTAGGAAGGGAATCCCTAAGGCCACCCCTGCGCTCTGACTTCCTGCAGGCCGCTGGACAGGAGAGGGAAGGGTAAGTTGTTCTTTGTTCTTGCAGTGGCCATTGGGATAGTGGAGAGCGGATTGGTTTCATCGCTGGTGCAGAAGCTGAAGACCGAGAAGGAGGACATCCAAGAGCTCATCCTGGACACTCTAACAGGCTGCCTGCGAGTTGAAGCCTTAGAGGCCTTGGCTACAGGATCCGTTTCTATCTTGAAGGAGAAGCTCCAGGATCCCTCACGGGCCATCAGGTGCAAGGCTGCCCAGGTCCTCATGGCCATCAGGTGAGGCACACCAGCACATGGCGCACCTCGGAGGTGCAGATGGCAAAGGAGCTCCAGGGTAGCTCCATGTTTGCCAAGAGCTGTTTCCCTCTGGCTTAGTTGACTGGTCAGAAGGGCAAGGCAAGTAGACCAGCCTCAGCTGACCCAAAGGGATGGTTTTCCCACTTCAGCGTCCCATTGGAGGGGAAGAACATGGTCTTCAAAGAAAAAGTCTTTCCAGACCTGGTCACCCTGCTGGAAGATGAGGATGCGGAGGTGCGAGCCAACGCTGCTGGGGCCCTCATGAATTCGGCAGTGACCACCCAAGGTGAGTGTGGCCGCGGGGCTCAGCCCATTCTCCATAGGAGAGAAGGAGGGGGGGCCTCCCAGGGACACAGCCGGGCAAGCGCCAGGGCTGCAGGAAGTGCTGCTTGGGCTGCACTTAAGGTGTTTCCTTCTCACCATTTTTAGTAGAGATTTTATTTACAGTAGTGAAAACAAGTATAACTTTAAAAAGTGCAAAGAAACATAAAAGCATATAGAGGCGTGATTTCCAATTCATCACAATTAAAAACAATTAAATGTAGTATAATTACAATTATAATTGAAAAGATAAAAACTAATATAAACCAAAGGAAAAGAAAAAGGTGGAAAGAAAAAAAGAAAAATAGAAAAGAAAGAATTTAGAAAACAAAAGGAAATTTTTTTACAAAAGTTACCCCCAGCCTTCATCACAAGTATAAACAATTTTAGTAACTTTTCACCTAAATTGCAACAAATGATCTCTTCTTCCCATATCCCATCTCTTTACACAAATCTATAAAGCATCATCATTTCAGCCTGGTGTCAAGTCCATTATGTGTTTCCAGAAATGACATCATATCTATTTTATTCTTGATCAAATAAACCAACCAAAATGAGGACCCAGTTTGTGGGGGCAATAAGCTGACTTTGTATAAATATACAAAAGGATGAAGGCTATTGCTGAGCACATTGTAAGCCGCCCTGAGTCTTCGGAGAAGGGCGGCATATAAATCAAATTAAAAAAAAAAAAACCTTTATATTCCTTCATTTTACTTCTATCAATCAATCCCATCAACTAATGCCATAGAATTTGATTTCTTTTCATTTCTTCTTTGTCCTTTCTTAAAGATTCTTCAAAACCTCTTTTGTAAATCAAACATAAAGAGATCTTGGTTTGTGAGCATGTTGCCTGGTCCCTTCATCTCCCGGCTCTCGGACCAATGGGAGATCACTGTCCTGTGGTTCCAAAGAACTATTTGCCAGTTCTTTGGTCTTTCCTCCACTCATTGTCTCTGTCTTTATTTGAGACATGTTAATTCTCTATGCCCCCAACAGAAGTCTCTGGGCTGTGCTTATTATCCTGAGGAGAGGGAAGGGCTCAGGCATGTTTAGAAAAGCGGGACTAGGATTTCCTCTGTTTCCCCTTTGCTTTCAGGATGAGTTTCTAGTATTTTTCACCTACCGTATTTTTCAGTGTGTAAGACACACTTCCCCCGTCCCCCCAAAGTGGGTGGAAATGTCTGTGCGTCTTTTTTTTTTTTAATTTGATTTATATGCCGCCCTTCTCCGAAGACTCAGGGCGGCTTACAGTGCGTTAAGCAATAGTTTTCATACTTTTGTATATTTATACAAAGTCAGCTTATTGCCCCCACAATCTGGGTCCTCATTTCACCTATCTTTGAAAGGATGGAAGGCTGAGTCAACCTTGAGCCTGGCAAGATTCGATCTTACTTTAATTGCAGACAGCTGATGTTAAATTACAGAGCTCTGTCTGTTGAGCTATCCAGGCTCCTATAGTCTTATAGAGCGAATGTTGCCGAAGCCCCGCCCACCCACCGGCCCCCACCCTTCAGCTGCTGCCTCCCAGCAATTTGCCTCCTTGCAGCAAACAACTTGATCAGCTTCAGCACAGCCTGATTTAGCACGAGCAGCTGATTGGCGGTTGGATCAGCCTCCTGGAATACTGCCTATCAGCTGTTCCAGGCTGCGGGGATCACCACCGCCCATCGGCACCATCGCCACCCATCACCACTGCCACCTATCGCCACCTCCGTGCAACCCATTTTCGGCCTCCTTGTGCCTCAGTTTTGGCCCATTCCAGGTGGGGATAGGCTGCAGCGGTGATCACCGCTGCCTTGAACAAGCCGAAAATGGGACGTGCGGAGGCTGAAAATAGGGCACGAGGAGGTGGCAATAGGTGGCGGCAGTGATGGGTGGTGGCGATGGCCAATGGCAATCCCCGCAGCCTGGAACAGCTGATAGGTGGTATTCCGGGAGGCAGATCCAACTGCCAATCAGCTGCTCGTGCTAAATCAAGCTGTGCTGAAGCTGACCAGGCTGTTTGCTGTTTGCTGCAAGGAGGCAAATTGCTGGGAGGCAGAGGAAGATTTTTTTTTTCTTGTTTTCCTCCCCAAAAGCTAGGTGCATCTTATAGTCCAGAGTGTCTTATAGTCTGAAAAATACAGTAAGCGAAACCTATCTGGCAGTTTTTACTAAAACCCTGGGTTATGCCAAGGGAGCAAGGAAGCCCACTCAGACCTTCTGGCTGCAGCTGCTTCCATCTCACCTCTTGGTTTACCACTCACTGCTGGGCTAGCCTGTTCGTTCCCTACCATGTTTTCTCTCCATTTCAGGGAAATACGCTGCTATTAATGCAGAAGCCATTGAGTATCTTCTGCCTTTGATCCATGATGACAAGAGCAAAGTCCGCCTCTATGCCATCAAGGCCCTGACCATGTTGTCAGAAGCCCCAGAAGGCCGCGTGACACTGCTGAAGCATGTACCGGAGTTCCGGAAGCGGCTGAACGACTCCAGTGAGACTGTGCAGAGAGCAGCCCAGATCGCCATACAGGTCATTGAATGGAAACCTTAGAAAGCCCTCTTAGCAACTGGCAATAAACCGACAATAGCCCTGATGCTGTCAGGAACCATTTTGTTTGAGGTGCAACTGGGTAAGAGAGAACAGGCAGCTCTCTGGTGAAGGGTCTCTCCTTTGATCTCATTCAGGGTGAAGGAGAAGGGGAGCAGAATTAGAACTGCAAATGGGTCGTGACCTTTAAAGCCCTTAATGGCACAGGGCCAGGCTACCTGAGGAACCACCTCCTCCCACTAGGTCAAGCCCGTCCTACTCAGATTGGCAGAGAGGACCTACTTCGGATCCTGTCAGTCAGAGAACTCTGACTGGGGAGTGGGATCCAAAAGAACAGCCTTCCCTCTGGAACATCCTGCCCTCCCCCACCCTCCTGAAGACCTGGCTCTGCTGGTTGGCTTGGGGTCCAAAGGGGAGGCGGCTGCTGGATTGACGGCAGACTCCACCCCCACCCTCATTGCTCTCTGCCCTCCACCCGTCCATCTTTTTGATGATCATATTGAAGTGTTCCCATTGTGTTCTTTTCCTTTATTTTATTGCTCTCTTTACTTCTGATCTGTTTACACTCTTTTCATTACTTCCTTTTATTGTTGTAAGCCGCCTAGAGTAGCCCCTCAGCGAGATAGGAGGCAATAAATAAATAAATACATTGGGGAATGCAGAGATTTCACCCACAGGCCAATCCTGCTGAACTGACAGGATCCTGGCCTTGTGTCTGACTGATGCAGGAGTCCGTTGGCCCAAGAGCATGTGAAGAGGGACGTGTTGACCTAAGGAAAATGGGTGGGAAACTCGGGATGGGATGGGATGATAAGGCAGCTATCTGTCCTAATTGATTCAGGCAGGAATAAATGATAATGATTTAAGGATGCTGTAAAGGATTATGAAACACTGGCAGGGGGTGAAAGAGCTGGGACAGAGGTGGGATTTTCTTCACTCTGTCCAATATCATTATTGAAATAATTTGCTTCAACAAAGAAGAGAGATGGCCCAGGAAGAAGAAGAATACTGGAAAGAGGGAGCAGGCTATGCAGATGTTCCTGGTGGGAACAGGTCAGGCTCTTCATTAAAGTGAAGCGTTTCTGAGAAGAGGCCCTGGCAAGAGACGAGCTGCATGGCATTTGTGTTGCTTGTTTCCAAATGAGATTCTACCACAATCTATCTTGGCGCCAGTGTTATTCAACACTTTTATTAATGACCTGTACAAAAGGATTGATGGGCTGCTGATCAAATCTGCAGGTGACACGGAATTGGGAGATCTACCCAACACCCAGGAGGACAGAATGAAATTGCAATTTATTCTGAACAGGCTGGAAGATTAGACTGAGAGGTGCCAGAGGGAGAAGTGCAGGGGAGAAAAAGGTAGGACACAGACAAGTTGGGGGATTTATGGCATCTGAGGAGGACGTAGCCAAGCCTTATGATACCCCTACTAGGAAGGCTCAGGTGATTCTGGTTTGGATCAGAAGAAGAAGCTGCTTCAAAGGGGAGGATTTCCTTCTGTTCTGTGCTGGTGAGACGCAGCTGGAGTGATTGATTATAAACACAACCACAATTTCACTTAGCAACCGCTTTGTTTAATGTCTGAGTTGCCCGTCCCAGTTGTGGTCACAAACTAAGAGCTATCAGTGTTTGCCATCAACTCAGCATCAACTTTTAATGATCACATAAGTAGATCTTCTTCAAGATGACCTATCTCCAACCTAGACCTTGAGGTCTACGAAGGTGCATGTGTTGCTGCTACAATCCATCTGCCTCGCTGCTGATTGTCTTCTTCTTCATCCATTCTCAGGGTTGTAGACTCCCAGAAGGCTTCATCTCACATAATACGCCTTCATTGCTGAGCTAGTGTCCGGCTGCTACCTTCTTTGGCTGCTGATTGCTTTGATGCTAATGGTCAATCCTAAAAGACAGAGGCTATCCACTATTTCAGCATCTCATTATCCATTGTGAGGCTTGTTTACAGTATTTTTTAATTTAATTCAAATTTTCTTTCTCAATACATATTCAGGATATAACAGATGGAGTACTGTGTACAATTCTGGGCAGCACATTTCCAGAAAGATATGGGCAGATATCCAGAACGATATTACAAAGTTGATACAAGGACTTGAGGATGTGCCACAGGAGGACAGGCTGGAGAATCCAGGGATGTTCAGACTGGAAAAAAGCAAACAGAGGGATAGTTGGATAAAATGGTGCTCCAGGGAAGATGGCCAGGAATTAGTTTTCCCAGAAAGTAAAAGAAGCAGGAATGGGCATAGGTTACAGTTACCTAGATTTAATTAAAACGCAAGCTAAAGGACTTCCATAATAACATCCTCTCAAGGAGAGGCTCAGCACCTTTGGGTACTCAGCACCGCTTCCCCCCACTCAGCAAACAAGCACACCGACAAACATTCAAAACCACCTTCAGTCTCAGTCCCAAAGGGGCCTCCCTCAGCTGCCCTGACTCATCCAGCTAACCTGCTTCTTGGTCTCTCACCCTAAGCATGCAACCAAAGCCCTGGGCTGATCTTCATTGTCCAAATCTACAATTCTGCTGGTGGACTTTTTGGGTCTGGACAGTCCTTTCATCATTTCTCAAAAGAAGAATGTAGCCAGGTTCTTTCTGTGAAAGTTTATCCCAAGGAAGAGGCTGTGAAGTTATTTTCAGAGTTCCTAAAGGTAGGCAAGGAGTTTCATAGAGGAAGAAAATAAGGAGAAATTTCCTGGTGTGAGAGCTATTGAGCAGCAGAACAGTCTGAGTTATTCCTTGAAGTTGTCGAGCGAAGGTTGGATACCTTCTGTCTGGGATAGTACAACAATTCCTACTCTGGGCAGGGTGTTGGACTAGAAGGCCCCGTGATTTTATTATTCTGTGACTTTTATTGCTTCCATATTCCTCGGATGAGCAAAGGAAGATAATGCTTCCTGCTTACTGACCCTTCCCCATAAAATGGGGCAAGACGCTGGGCTTGAGTAACCATGAAGTAGCTTTCTGCTTGATATCAGGAAACATTTCCCAATATTAAGAGCTGTTCAACGATGGAACAGGCAGCCTCAGGCGACACGGAACTCTTCCTTTGTGGAGGTGTTTAAACAAAGCTGGGATGGCCATCTGTCAGGGAGGCTGTTGTATTGACGAAAATGGTATTTAATGGATTCTTACCCCAGGCAGGAGTTGGACTAATGTTCTCCAAGAGCAAATATGCCATCAAGGACTGGAGCCAACAACGCAGAGGACAAATGGGGAAGCGAAAGAGTGGAGGGACAAAAGGGGGGAGAGGGTTTGGAGACTGGCAGGGAAGTACATCAAAGGCAGGAGGGAGCACCAGGCATCACCTCAGATGTTTCTACTCCAGGGCACGATGGGAAACAAACAAATGCTGGCAAAGGAGGCTCTGAATTCACTCAGGCATCGCTGACTCATGGGATGAGACTGAAATAAGAGCAACACATCCGACCGGGACATCCCCTCCAAGGCTGCCACTTATTCCAAACTTAATAGAGGGGAAGGAGAAGCTTGCTTGGCGAGGCAGAAATAAAGAAGTTGAAAGTGAAAATGGATGAATTGTGAAGAGGTGAGGATGGAAGAAGTAGAGCATCTGAAAACACGTTTTATGTCTGCTCTTTCCTAGAAGATAAACACAACCATTGCTGACTGTTACTTTGCCATTAATGGATGGGGGGAACTGTGGTTCGAGATAGACAAGGTGGGATGTAAATGACTCTTAGCTCATTTAAACGAATTCAGGCTTCCATGACCAGAAAAACTGCATCCCAGGTCCCTGAAGGAACCAGCAAAGGTGCCCACAGAACCACTCGCTCTAATCTTGAAGACCTCCTGGAAAAGACAGACTGGAGGAGAGAAAAGGTTGGGGCTACATTTAAAAAAAAGGGAAGCAAGAGAATCCAGGCAATTGCACATTTCTCAGCTTGAAGTATATTCTGAGCAAGATCCTTGAGTAGCTTATTAAACGGCTTGCTTGTGAGCGTGTAGAAAACAATAGCGCCAGAGAAAGCAACAGCTAATAAAGGAGCCAGTGTGAGGCTGCCACAAACAAGTCCTGACAGATGCCTCTCCTTCCTTCACAGAGTGACTAGCTTGGTCCGCTGAGGAAATGCCATGGACTCAGGGGAACTCAGCCAACGGTTTAGAACATTTCTTGTCATATCCTCTTTTAATAAAATGGTAAAATATGGTCTAACTAGCCAACTCAGAATTAGTCAGGCAAGGTGACATCCTATGACAGTGAAAGTTGGACATTAACAAAACAAGATAGCAGCAATACTTTGAACTTTAGGTTTGGAGAAGATTTGGAGAATTTCCAAGAGAACAGATCAAAGAATCGCTGAACAAATCGATGCAGAGTTCTCACTTGAAGCACAAGTGACCTGGCTCAAATTATCCTATTTCAGACACGTTGTGCAATGAGACAGTTACCTTGAGAAGGCCATAATGCTGAGAGGTGGAAAGAAAGAGAAAAGGAGGACCAGCAGCAAAGAGGATGAAGTCAATTATAAGGCACATTGTTGGGAGACCTGAAGGGCAGAGTTAGGGCCAGACCATTCTGGAGAAGGTCCAATTATGTGGCATGAAGAGTCAACACCAAGTTGATGGCAATTGGTAGTCAATCAAAATAAAGATTAGATGGTACCTACTTAGGTGTATTCATAATTGAACAAATATTCACACACAGAGATACCAAGCTTCATATCGGTTTGGAAAGGAGCATCAGGTGAACTGTCACACTCAAACCTGAATGAAGTAATGAATTCCAAATGAAATTCCATGGTGAGAAATATAAGGTTCTACATCTAGGCAAGAAAAACCAAATGCCCAGGTACAGAATAGGTGGAATCTGGCTCAATAGCAATAACTTAGAGGGATCTAGGAGTCTAAGGAGCAAGTACTTCAATATGAGCCAGCAGACTGCATTAACTGAGGGATAGAATCAAGATGACACAAAGTGTTAATACCACTTTATAATGCCTTGGTGAGACCACACTTGGAATGCTGCATCCAAATTTGGTTGCCATGATATTAAAAAGATGTTGAGACTCTTTCTAGAGTGCAGAGTGCAGAGAAGAGCAACAAAGATGATTAGGGGCCTGGAGGCTAAAACATATGAAGAACGGTTGCTGGAACTGGGTATGTCTAGTTTGATGAAAAGAAGGACTAGGGGGTGATATGACAGCAGTGTTCCAATATCTCAGGGGCTGCCACAAAGAAGAGGGAGTCAATCTATTCTCCAAAGCACCTGAGGGTAGGACAAGAAGCAATGGGTGGAAACTAATCAAGGAGAGAAGCAACCAGGAACGAAGGAGAAATTTCCTGACAGTGAGAACAATTAATCAGTGGGTGCTCCATCATAGAGATTTTTAAGAAGAGATTGGACAACTATTTGTCTGAAATGGTCTAGGGTTTCCCACTTGAGCAGGGGGTTGGACTAGAAGACTTCCAAGGTCTCTTCCAACTCTGTTGGGCTATTATCAACTGTACAGATGACACAACACAAAAGTTTTGAAAAGAAACACAAAACTCTAGAAAAGAAAGACGAGGGTCAAGAAGATTGAGGAAAGCTTGTATAATGAAGTGAAACAAATAGGATGGAAATTTAACAGAAAGAAATGTAAACAAACTGAAGGGAGTTCAGAGGACAACTATCAAGGTTTTGTGGGGACAGAAAGCTGAGTCTTTTGAGGATTATCTAAAGAACCGTGGATGTTTAGTCTGCAAAAGAGAAAACAGGGCAGTCGTGATGGTGCATTTTCAACTATCTAACATGTTGTTACATTGGGGAAGATGTGGACATGTCTTCCCAGAATACAGGAGCAGAATCCAAATGATGAGGTTACAGAGAAATAGAGTCAGATTAAAGATGAGGAGCTACTTCCTAATGTTGGAATTGTTCTTCTTGAGGTGGTTCATTCCCATCCAAACAGAGACTGGATAGTCATTTGTCCAAAATACTTTTGTAGAACCTGCAAAAGGCAGAGTTTCAACTAGATCAATGATGGCAAATCTATGATGTACGTCAAAGTTACACACCACAACATTTTTGGGGACACACTAGTGTTCACCAATGCCTGACAACAATCATTGTCATGCAGGCTACACAAACTTGGATAGTTCTTCTGGGAACCACCTTCAGAATTTTACTGCTCCCAGTAGCCAGGCAATAAAGCAGTTACAGAGCTTCCTGGGATCCGCAAACTACAGGCAGTCCATCCCCACGTTTGCCCAGATAACCCTGCCCATCACCAACTTGCTCTATATGGGAGGGGGAGTGAAGCCCAAACTGAGTCAGCCATTAAATTGGTCCATCAAATGTCAGGCGGCCTTTGAAAAGCTGAAGTGGCTCTTGGCTGCTGAACCAGTTTTGAAGCACCCAAACCCAGATGAGCCTTTCGTGATCCAAGCAGAGGCCAATGATGTGGCAGCAGGGGTGGTTTTACTCCAGAGGAACAAAAAGGGAGAGTTGCAACCATGGGCCTACACATCACATAAGTTGTCCAATACTGAGAGGCGGTGGGCCACCTGGGAGAAGGAGGCTTACATGGTCCAATGGACTCTTCTCACCTGCAGGAAGTTCTTAGAGGGCATTAAGATTCCATTCAAGGTGTGGGCGGACCACAAGAACCTGGAGGCATTAAAGGCCCCAAGGAAGCCGTCCCCTAAGCAGGTCTGATGGGCTCAGTATTTTAACCGCTTCAATTTCACCTTTCGCTACTTGCTGGGTGGGAAGAATTTCTTAGCCAATGCCCTCTCGCATGCCCCAGCACAGAAGTACCCAAGAGGAGGCAGTTAACTCCATTTTCCCATCCAGGCAGCTTTCAGCACCAATGCTCACGAGGCAGCAGAGAACAGTCTCTGTGCAGCCGGCTGGGTGATGCATCCGCATAAAGATGGCCAGTTGATGAAGGAAGGCTTGGTAGGGGAGTAAAATGCACATCCCAGCCAGCCAGAGAAGCTTGGTCCTGCAGAGAGGAACCACGATGCAAAATCTGCAGGGCATTTTGGGTTTGTCTTCACTCTTCACCTGGTGAAGAGACAGTTCTGGTGGCTGAAAATGAAAAAGGACATAGGAGCCTATGTGGCCAGCTGTCCTGTGTGCGCCTCCATGAAACACCTACCTGGGAAGGCTCCAGGCTTACTACTGTCAGTAGCCAACCCACCTAGCAGGAGATACCCAGGGGCTTTATTGTGGAGTTGCCTGAGAGTGCTGGGAACCCAGTAATTTGGACTGTCATCAGCCTGTTTTTGAAGCAAGCACACTTTGTGGCGGGTCTCGAGATTCCTTCTGCCTGGCCTTAGCCAAGATGTTTGTGCAACACATCTACAGACTACATAGCAAGAGCAAGAGCACTTAGACTTATATACCACTTCATAGTGTTTTTACAGCCCTCTCTAAGCGGTTTACAGAGTCAGCCTCTTGCCCCCAACAATCTGGGCCCTCATTTTACCCACCTCGGATGGATGGAAGGCTGAGTCAACCTTGAGCCGGTGAGACTTGAATTGCTGAAGTGCAGCTAGCAGTCAGCTGAAGTAGCCTGCAGTGCTGCACTCTAAGCACTGCACCACCTCGGCTCATGGGGTCCCAAAGCACATTATCTCTGACAGGGGGGTGTAATTCACTGCAAAACTTTGGCAGGAATTTTTAAAATTGATAGGCTCCTCCCAGGGACCTCTCATCCAAGTACCAATGAGATGGCTGAAGATGCCAACTCAGTAGAGCAATACCTGCGCTATTATATAAATCATTAGCAGACTAATTGGGCCAAGCTCCTGCCTTTCACAGAAGTGGCGTATAACAACTAGGTGCACAGCAGCACTTTCAAAGTAGCCACGGGGTTGAGTTATGCCCATGCCAGAGCTCCCACAGGAAGCGCCAGCCTCAGGGTCAGGACTGACTCAGACTTTCATCTAAATTCCACTTTGCTCACAGCTTGACAAAGAATGGGTAGTGGTGGACTGGAATGCAAGGGTGGGGGGAATGGCCTACAAGCACAAGGACAGCCAGAGCAGATGCCACAGCGATCGTCTGGTTCCCCAAACAAAATGAACAGAAGTGATTGGTGGACGTAAGGGACTGGGGATGACCTGTGGGGAGAGGGGAAATGAACTATGCACAGGAAGCCCAAAGCTTCTTCTGTGCCAATGTACACTTATTCAGTAAAGTTTATACACTTGGAAAAATAATGGAGTTTCTTTGTCTGGGAAAGTCTTCTCTTGCAGCCCTGAAGTGTTGCAGCCATGGGGGAGGAGGATTCAAGGTCTTTTTCTCCCCTCTCAGGACACCATTGTTGAGGGTCTCCAACATTGGCAACTTTAAGACTTGTGGACTTCCAGAATGCCAACTTTGGAGACCCCTGCTCTAGATGAAGTGAAAGAGGAGAGTCACATGTGGGCAATGAATTCTACTGCAACAACTATCACGATGACTGGTTTAATATGTCGCAGGGATTTGAGGGGGGCTCTAAAGAACCAGAGGGGCAGATGTGGCATTGCGAAGGAAAGCTGGCCCTTTCCAACCCACCTCCTCCATCTTGCCTTCCTCCTCCCCCAGCAAATGCTGCTACTTCTCATTGTCTGTTGCAATTTGTAAATTATGCTTGATGCTGGAACCTCGTGTGATCCCAGCCACAGTAGTTGATAAAGATGCCATGGATGGAAAAGGCCCCCGAGCCCCCTTCCACTTTGATGTATCTGCCTGTCCTTCAGTACCCAGGGCCTGTTGGGCTTCGTTCCTGTCTGCTTCACTCTGGGGCCCTTAAGGGCCTGGTTTCTGATGGCCTTCCTGAAGCCTCTCCCCATAACCAACTCTGGAAGCATTAAGATGGTTCCCCTGGATTTCTTGTCTGGGAGGACCCAGAGTGAGCTCATGGGGCAGCCCCAGGTCTTCCCCAGGGAGTTTGTCCCAGAGAGGTTGGGGTCTCTGCTCCCCACCCTTAGGGCTCCATCAACCCTTCCCAGAGAAGAGTGGCGACCATGGTGGGGTCCCTTCCTGATTTCATTTCAGGGTCTGTGGGGACGTCCAAGTGGGAGGCCCTCCTTCTGAAGGGGCCTGCCCCCATCAACCTCTCTGGCCAAGTTGGCATTCTGGTCCAACTTCCACATTTTCCTCTGACAGAAGACTGGAAATAAGAGATCTGAGGCAGCTGTAATTTTTCATCTGGGTTTTCCAGGGCTTTGAGCAGCAAACAACTTAGTCACCCAGAAACCTGGGGAGTTGAGTTTTGTGTGTGGGGGGGGAGAGTTTGTCTTGTCAAGAGGAAAATGCAGCAATTAATCTGTCGGCCCCCGACACTTTTGTCCCCTGCAATTAAATCAAAGGTTCCTAAAATGGACTCATCCTGCATCTCCCTGCAGCCCTGCTGGGCCTGCAGTGACACCGAGCAGCGGGTGCTGCGATGCTGCCTCTTTTGCTCCCCAAAGCAGGCCATGTCACGCTGCGAATAGTGGAGCCAGCATTCTGCAGCACCAAGAGCAAGGTCCCCATTCTTTAGCAAGAAGACTTGGTGTACGAGGCAGACCCTCCCTGTTCTTCCAGCCCTGTGGCAATCTGTGGAGCCAGCACCAAAGGCAAGAAGCCCCAGAGGGACCACCCTACCAGGGCCCTTGGTGCAGGGGCACTCTGGAGCATCACAAGGGTTGGGTCTTGCCCAGAGCTTGGCCTTTGGTCTCCCTGGACCAGGCACTCTCCTGCTGCTGGCATGCCTTGGGGGAGGAGGGCATTTTCTGAGCAAGGGTACTCCGAGGGGGCAACAGGTGGAGAGGCTTTCATGGGCCTCTTCCTTGCGTTTTGGGAGTTTGGCTCAGGGAGAGGGGGTCCCTCCTGCAGGCTGAGTTCTCTGGAGCAAGATCAGCACAGCCCACAGGGAAGGCATCCGAGTCTCTCCAGGGAGGTCCATGTCTCCACCCTCCTTTTCATTACGGCAAATGGCAGAGCCTTTCGGAGAAAAGAAAATGGTATGCTGGAATCATTTCCAAGGGACTGAAAGTAAACAAGTGCTATTATACACACACACACATTAAAGGCTCTTTCTGAGGGGAGCCGTGACACACCAGTCTGGGCCAAGGGCACCTTCAGCCTGAAAGTGGCTGCCAGCAACTGCTCCTTATAGGTCTGGTACAACGATATCTTCCATAGAGCACAGATAGTGAACCTGTGAAGCCCATTACCACAAATTAAATGAAAAGCTTTGGAAAGTGGAACAAAGATATGGAAAAGCTATCAGTGGCTGCTTGCCATGATGGCTCCATCTCACTCCAGGAGTCACTTCTCTTTATGGGCCTCTGAAGGCTTCTGGCCGGCTCTGGAGCCTGAGAGAACTGTCTGGTGAATGGCGCTGTGAAGTCTTTTGAGCTTGGTAGTTTTCTTAAAGATGCTTCATTACCCAATTCAGCACTGATGATGTTACCTAGTTGGGTCATGAAACGTCTGCAAGAAAACCACCAAGCTCGGAGAGCACCAAGGACCCCTCATTTCAACCCTGCTGAACTCCAAGTATTCTCGCCTATTGGTACTTCGGAGAGAGGGAAGCTCTGGGCTCCCTGTTAGTTGTGCTGGGAGCTCTCCATGGTCCTGCAAAAACAGCCGCTTTGTCAGAGCCTATCAACTCCTGCTTGTGAGTCCTAGTCTTCCTCTTGGGAAGAGTCTCAGAAGGTTGAGGTTAGGCTGTGGTTGCGAAGGTTCTTGATCCCAGACACAGCCCTACACCCGGTTGGCTCCTAAGTCAAAAGTTGCTTTCTCCAAGGCAGTCTTAGCGTCAACCAGGGCCAGACACTTAGCCCCCAGTTGCATCACCCTCCCTGCTTTCCCCCAGTTACTGGCCCCTGGCAGAAAGAGATGGGGATGACCTGGTCTGCAGGCTTTCAATAGATTTCTGGTGTCAGGGGGCAAGGCAGGAGTTCTGCTTCATTTTGTTTTTTTCAACAAGACACAGTGATTTTAATATATTCGGGTCTATTATTCGGGTCTTCGGGTTATCCGGCCAAGACACTTCCAATTTTACATGGGAGAAGACCCGAATAACCAAAGACCTACATACAAACACCCGCGAAAACCTGAGAAAACATATATATATATATATATATATATATTTACAGTTATACAGTAAATCCAAATTACAAAGGATGATAATAACATCAGCATGCCTGGTCCCAGGGAAAGAGATTCAAACCACTTCAAGCCGATTCTAACTGAACTAGGTATTAACAATTCAATGCAAATACTTCCAGTTCCAAAGTTAATACAGGTAGAAACAGTTCTGCATGAGTCTTAAATAAAGAGGAGCAAGATTAGAAGACTCTGCCTCCAAAACAATATTAAAATCAGCCTACTGAGGCAGCTGAACTTACACACTTTTCCTGTGCAAATCATACACTTAAAAAACAAGAAGAGAAAAACAAGTGGAAAGCAGAATTTCTGACACACACACACACACACACACACACACACACACACACACTTTGGTAACACAATCCAAAAACGGGGATTAAAAACATTTGAGGATTGTCCCCTTTGAGGAGAGTCCGCAGACCCACACGGCCCCTCCTAATCAACGGCATTCACAGTTGGTCATGTTTTCAGTTAACTGGATGAGTTAAATGATTCTCCTGACAAATGAGTTTCAAATCTGATAAGGTGCAAGTTACAGATTATGATGTCACAGTGCAATTTAGCAATCAAGAACTTCATTCCCAAATAAAACAAAATGTTTGACCTATGCAAAAAATCCATGGCAGAAGACAGCCACTGACAGCAAGATGATGGCGTTGATGTTGACCACGCGCCTCCACAAGGGCTCCTCCGTCGTGTCTGTCAACTTATGCTGCAGGGCCTCCTCTTCTTCCTTGCTCAGCTTGGGGCCCGTCTGTTCCAAGCCACAGAACCAGTTGTAGGCTTTCTTGCAACAGTTGGTCTCTTTCTCTTGGGCTGCAAGGACAACATGGCCGGCTGTTAGATGTAGAAGCCAAACTGACCTTTTCATGCCCAGAACATCCTCCTAAGGCTCCACCATCCTATTCTCATACAGTTTGCTTATATGCCCCAATATACCATAGAGTTGAAAGGGTTCCTTTTATCAAATCTACTGACCATCATTATTCATTCTGTTTCGTGTTGAAGCAAATAACATTGCCAAAAAAGAGACTGGAAAGAATCTCAAAGGACCACAAGGAGTTAGGCAGGAAGGCAAAAGAATTTGGGGCAGAGGTGGGATTTTCATCCATGCCTCCAACTGGCAGACATGGCCTGAAGACAGAATGGAGGATTTGGGGTGGGGGGTGGAGTCCTCGGGAAAACTTCGTCTTCCTGGACCACAATCTGTGCCATCTAGAGGTAGGGCTCCTGCAAGCAAGAAATGGGTTGCACCTCACAAAGACTAGCAAGGGCATGTCTGGAAGACACCTTACTCTACTCAGGTCATGCAGCAGACTTTAAACTACATCTGGAGTAGAAGGGAAATCAGAAGCCAGTCAAAGTTTCTGCCCAAAGGTAGGCACCGGAGATCAAGAGAGGAAGTGGTAAGAGGGAGGGGCCCCAGAACACACCAGGAGATGCAGGAGGCAAAACTAAGAAGGCCAGTGCTGAGAATCAGAGGCTTCTTGTACCTCAGTGCTCAGAGAATGGGGAACAAACAGGGAGAACCTGAAGTCTTAGCACAGGGAGGAAAGGTGACATTACTGGTATTTCTAAAAGTTGGTGGAATGGATCGCATGAATGGAATATAAAATTAGAAGGGTATAATTTGTTGAGAAGAAAAAAAGCCCAACAAGGGGAGGGGGAAAAGGTGTCATATTATATGTGAGGAATTTCAACACAAGTAAATTCAGAACATCAAGTGTGAAAGTCTTGCCGAAAGCATCTGAGTGAAAATAAAGGAAAAAAGCAAAAAATAAAAAATAAAATGACCCTGGTGTGGGTGTGCTTTACAGGCCACCAACCAGGCAGGAGGTGTGACAGAAATCTTTGCAGATTGTGTCCTTGAATGTCCAGGAAACACATCACAGTGCCAAGGGGGATTTCAACCACTTCAGCATCAACTGGGAATCAACCAAAGCAGCAAGTGGAAGATTCTATGGCAAGGGTGTCAAACTCAATTTCACTGAGGGCCGCATCAGGGTTGTGTTTGACCTTGGGAGGCTGGGGGGGGGGGCTAGGCCAGGGTACGCATGGCCAGCTTGATGTCACTCATGTCAGGGGTGCCTGTAGCGGCCCGAGTGCTCTTCTAGTGAAAATGGGCTCCCAATTTCAGTTTTGGGCTGGGACGGCCTCCTGCAACCCTCTGCCAGCGAAAACAGAGCTGCGGAGGGCCGCATGTGTTTTTGCTCTGTTTTTGCTGGCAGAGGGTTGCAGGAGGCCGTCCCAGCCGAAAATGGAGCTCGGAAGCCCGTTTTCTCTGGCAGAGGCACTGCGGGCGGGTCCTTTGCTGTTTCCGAGGCGGCCTCGCGGGCCAGGTCTAATCACCCCATGGGCCAGATCCAGCCCATGGGCCTTGAGTTTGACACGCCTGTTCTATGGGTTCTTGTTTTGTAGAGGACTTCATCATCCAAAGACTGGAATAGAGAACTAGCCATGTTGGGCTTCATGCTTACTAACAAAGGAGAAATGCTGGCATGGGAAGGAGAGAATGGCAAGAGTGAATGACCGTTGTCTTCCTAGAATTCACCCTGCAGGCAAGCAGAACCAAAAGTTGTCTGGTTACTATTCTACATTTCAGGAGATCTGACTTCAGCAACTGACGGGAAAAAGTAGGAAGGGTTCTAAAGGAATGGAACCCTCAAGAGGGTTGGGAGATTCTCAGAAAGGAGATTATTGAGGCCCCAATACAAACAATACTATAGAAAAAACTTAAAAGTGGGAGGGCTCTGATGAAGCCACCGGGTGCACAAATGGCTCTCTATCAACAAGAAACAAAAAGGACAAATTTGAAAAATGGAAAGATACTACAAAGTAGAATATCAGAGAATAAGGATGATTTTTTTACCATCGCTAGGAAAAGATGTGGAAATGATGACAAGCAATGGGGAGAAGCTGGAACTACTTAATTCCTATTTTGCATCTCTCTTTGCAAAAGGAAACCATGGCCCATGGATGTGGGGAGGGAACAGCCAGGTCCCAGAGTACAGAGGAAGGACCAGAAGATTGGAGAAAAATTAAGGCTCCCGGCTTAAAAAAGAAGTGAAGGCCGGAAACAGCAAACCAAAGCAGCTTGACCTCAATATCTGGGAAAATAGTGGAAAAGAGATCAAGCAGCCAGTTTGCAAGCACTTAGTAGGAACAGGAGGCCTCGGGTTTATTAAAACTAGGTCAGGCCAGACAAATCTTAGAGCTCTTCTTTTTTTACACGGAGGCTAGATTTGTGGACCAGTGTGGATGTGAAGGACCTAGACTTCAGTAAGACACCTGGTAATGCTGACATAGCCTCTCTGATCAGATGGAACAAGGCGAGATGGATGGTCCCACTATCAGACGGATTCAGTTGATTGGAAAACCATGTGCAGCGTACGGTCCTTAATGAATCTACTGTATGTCCTTCATCCCACGGCTGAGCTTGCCTACTTACTTACTATTAGGAAATGTCTTTCTATCGTTCTATAAGAATCTGTTTTCCTATAACTTAAGACTGTTATTACATGTTTTTAACTTCAGGGTCATAGAGAGGAACTCACCCTCTTTTTGGCATTTGGAAAGGGCTACTATCTTCTCCTTTTCTCCAGACTAAATCTGCTTATCTTCTTCAGTCTCTTCATGTCACTTACTTTCTAATCCCCTGATCTCTGCCCTTCTTTGATCCCTTCACTAGCGCATCTTCCTGTTTAGTGACCAGAACAGTACACAATACTTGAGATAAGCCAGGGAACCACCAAGTCAGAGAACGAGGAACAGTTATAGCCATGATCTGAAAATGATTGTCACAGCCTAAGTTTGTATGTCCCTTTTTTTTTTTTTTAAATTGATTTATATGCCGCCCTTCTCCGGAGACTCAGGGCGGCTTACAGTGCGTTAAGCAATAGCCTTCATACTTTTGTATATTTTATACAAAGTCATCTTATTGCCCCCACAAACTGGGTCCTCAATTTACCTACCTTAGAAAGGATGGAAGGCTGAGTCAACCTTGAGCCTGGTGAGATTCGAATTTATTTTAATTGCAGACAGCTGGTGTTAAATTACAGTGCCTTTGTCTGCAGAGCTATCCAGGCAGAGCTATCCTTACTTGCAACCATCATATCACTGTGATATTTCAAAGTCTTTGTTTTAATGGTCATTAATCCCAGGATTATTAATAATATGACTGAATTTCTATATGAATGCATTTGATTTTTATCTCCTAGCTATACAAAATATGTTGGTTTTTCAACTGACTTCATTTCCTCCAAGGAAAGCTTTTGGCAACTATCTGAAGATGCCGAGAATTCATCTCTTAATAGCTCCAATTACAGAACTTCAATATTGATATAATGATTACTATTATATTACATTATTGTCTTTTAAAAGTATCTATGTGTGCGATTTGTGCCTTAAAGTCAGTTTTGGCAAACACCTGGACAAGTCCACACAGTTTTCTTGGCCAGATTTCAGGTGGTTGCCATTGCCTCCTTCTTAGGGCTGACAGAAAGTGACTGGCCCAAGGTCACTCGCTAGCTTCGCGCCCAATGCAGAACTAGAACTCAGAGTCTCCCCTTTCTAGCCTTGTGCTTTAACCAGTATCATTATTACCATATAATAATATAATACTATAATATTATTTATAAGATTTCTATCCTGTCTTTTCCCCTGAACTCAAAGAAGCCCCCTCCTCATTTGCTGCTGCTCCTTTATTCACAACAGGCTGAGGGGCAACAGGGCATTTTAATGCCACCCACTCAAACTCTCCATGATTCCCCTGCAAAACCTGGATTCCACTGCAAACTAGGATTTTCTCCATTTATAGTTTTTTTAAATGACTGCATTCATTTTCAAATTTGAGAGGGGGATAAATAATAAATTTATTATTTATTAAATAAATAAATAAATTTTAAGGTGCAAAAATAATAATTCAGGCACGCTCTGAACATCTGCTGCAAAATCCTTAACTAATATGGAGATAAACGCATATCAAAATTTCTCCTGGCATTTTTTTTTTTTAGCATCGCAACCTAAATTTGATTTTCCAAAAAGTGATCACTCTCCAATGAACTAGGATGCCTGTGAGCATCTTGGCTAAAATTCTTCCCTCTGATATCTAGGTCAGATAGGTTAGGAGAGGTCTGGTCTGGTTTGTCCTAGACAAATAACTCAACATTTCATGGTAAAGGTGATCTCACCTGGCTCTTCCTCATAGTCCTCCATTCCTTGCACCATCTCCCCTGCGTCCAGATCGACACGTTTCTCTTTACTGTTGCGCAAAGTCCAGCAAAGACGATAAAGCTTTTCAGGAAACAAAAATAACAACAATGAAGCAGAGCAGCTGAAATGACCTTGAACAAGGTCAACATGAGGCCCCAGTCTTGGTTCAAAAGGGACGGCTAGAAGTGCCCTGGTAACTCCACTACTCCTACTCACTCGGTACCCAATACCTCTGGCAGAACAACACAACATGTTATATAACTGCTCGTGCAGTGTTGAACTTCCCAACAAGACAGAAGCATCCTCTCTAACGTGGCTTCAAAGCGGTTTCCTCCCACCCGGCTGGCTTTCACTTCTGCTGAACCTGAGGAGTGGCTGCCTCAGATCTGAGAGCTCCAGAGGTGGATGTGAAGGAAAATGGCTCTTCCTTTTATTCTCAGCCATGTTGGGCATTCATGATAGGTTTGGTTGGACGGAGACTTGGCGAGCCCCTGTAAGTTGTTACCCACAGATATTTCTTTACATGTGGCCAAAATCTCAGCGAGGGCAGGGAAGAGAGAAGTGAGTTGGGGAAAATCAGGAAAAGGAGGGGCATTGCTTACATGGACATCATCGATTGGCTTGGTTAGGAATGAGACGATCAAAATGACGGTGATAGAGACAGCGAAAAGGATGATAGCAAAATAGAGGTAATGCACTTTACAGATGATCGCTGGGCATTCACTGGGCACAGCGCAGCTGCCGGTGCCATAGGCAAATTCTGCAAACATTCGAGAGAGCCCAATTACCAGTCCCACCATCAGGCCCCAGAAGGCGCCCTGCAAAAGACAACAAAATGCACTTAGGAGAACCTCTTCCCCTTCACGTCCTGTGGTATTGTATTCCTCAAAACTGGGTGACTCTTTGGACTCACAATTGTACACATATTGTGATAGATAGATATAGAATGATGGTTGAAAGGGACCTTAGAGGTCATCTAGTTCAACCCCCCTGCTCGAGTAGGAGAGTGTCAGATCTGCCATCTTCAGCTTGGCGCCTTGCTGGCATCCTGCCATTGTTGGGGGTGGGGTGGGGAGAGGAAGTAGGCAATTGGCATGTAGAGATGACCGGGGGTGTGTGTGTGTGAGGGAGGTTGACAGAAACCAGAGGTGTGGGAACCAGCCTGTTCTAGTCTTCAAGGCTGCAGAGCCTGAGAAAGGAATGCAGATTGTGCCAAGAGGCCCCAAACACCTAATTGGCACACCACTGGTCGAAGATGGGCCAGTCAAGGGGGGAAGGCTGGGAGAAGAGGGGAAAATTGGTAACCTTTTGCACAAGAACTTTAGTCCTGGCCTGCTTTTACTGCAACCTCAAATTCCTAGTAAAAGAACCGATCACTTCAACAAAATGGAGTTGAGGGTATTTCTTCCCTAGGTATCCAGCTGGGGCAAGCCTGACAGGAAGTCTATACCATCTGAGACCAATGGCTGAAAGAGATATGGGGCACATTCAACTTATCAGCAACCTTCACGATTTAGAGAAACTCCAAAACAATATTCTGACTCAATGTCTATGGAGATTCTCAGCCATGCAGGTCATGGTTGTCCCAAAGGTGCTTTTTAAAAAGGTAACTGGACTTTCTGGTTTTTCTTTGAAGATGTTTCGCTTCTCATCCAAGAAGCTTCTTCAGCTCTGACTGGATGGTGGGGAATGGAAGAATTTATACTCCTTGCAGACAGCTGGTCCTTTGCATCCTTTTAGCAAATCATTAAGGCCACTTGGAAGTTTGTCTTTCCGGTGTCCCCGTGGCCAGCTTGTGAAGGCAGGCAAGCGGAAGGCCATGTGGAAGGCAGGCAAGCATGGCAGAGCTGCAGGGAAGGGAGCTAGCAGCCTGCTCCCTTCCCCACAGCCCTGCCATGCTTGCCTGACTTCCACGCTGCTTTCCTGGCAATCTCCCATGCCCGCTTGCCTTCTGAGGTCAGCGTCCAGCCCGGCCCATCCAGTGGGTGGGTGGGCAGCCCTTGGTGGAAATGCAGATGCTGAGCTGGAGCTGAGAGGGACGGCAGCGGTCCTCTGTGAGGGCAAGCAGACATCCTTGGGCTGCTGCACATGCACCTGGCCCATTTCTGCAAAGGCAGGGCCCTCCCCCCAGGGCAATCCAAAGAGGGGAGGGGGATGCTGCAGAAAAGGGGTGCTGCTTCCACCCAGGCCCGCCTGCCTCCTGTGCCAGCTCCATGGGGCTTGGGGCTCCGAAGCAGTCCACCGGCTTCCCACTCAGCCACCTGCCTGCTCTCTTTGACCGCTGGCGCCACTCCAGGAACTTGGCCCGCAGAGTCTCGTGCTCTGGGGGAAGGAGGGTCAGCCACGGTGCTGTGGCCCGTCAGCGGCCTGTGCAGTTACTAGCTGATTCTGACAGCGAGGAGGCTGGTGTGGTGCTGCACCAGCAGCATGTGCAGCTGGCGCTTGAGTCAAACAATGAGGAGGCTGGAGAAGATGTGATGCCAGAGGCAGGGATTCAGCCAGGGCCTTCAGAACCTCCAGAGGCTCCTTTAAGTGAAGAGGAAGAGGAGGAGGAGCCTCTTCTCGATGCACAAGCGTGCAGAGGTGTTAAAAGGCAGGAGTGGCTCCTCAGGAGGAGGTCTTGTCAGCTGTTAATGAAATTAAAATTAACAGCCCTTCTTCAGAAAAGACTGATTTAAACTGTACTTGTATTCAAACAACTACTAAGAAAGATCATTAGTAGTCCTTAATTAGTAAACCAAGGTTTGTACGGACTTTGTGTGTCCTGCATTCTTTGGGGTCCGTAGCTGGGGCAGAACAGCTGCTTCCCGCCAGTGAAGAACCAGAGCGACAGGCGCGGAAGCCTTCGGCAGCCAGCAAGGTGGCAGCCCCCCCCCCCCCAGTGTGGGGAGAGGGCCAGGCCCAACCGTGCCACCATGGAGCCCACGGTGCTTTCCCTTCGGCCTGGGCCATCAGGACTGAGTGATCGCAGTGCCTCCACAGCAACAGACGCGCTGCAGCTGCCTTGCCCGCCTTCACCTCCGTGCGCTGTGCTTGGAAGGGGCCGTCGCTGCTGTCCCTTCTCGCCTGGCTACACAGTGTGCACACGTCAGCTTGCCCTCCCAAAGCAACCCCGCCACCCTTCACTTTCATTTCATGATGGGAGAAGGAAGAAAGCGAACAGTGGCACCGTGGCACATGCAAGATGCTCCCCTTGTTAAATGCACACTGTTGCCTGCTGTGGCTGATGAAAATGAATGGTGTTCCAGGAGGGCAGGCTGTCCGCAGACGTCCCGGGGCTGCTAAACATGCACATGTGCATGTGCCGCCGTGGCGCCATTCGGTTTCTTCCTTCCCCCACCGCAAAATGAAAGCGAACGGTGGCAGGGTTGCTTCAGGAGGGCAGGTGGACGTGTGCACACTGCAGCCAGGCAGGGAGGGAGAATGGCGGAGGCCCCTTCCAAGTGCAGTGCATGGAGGCGAAGGTGGGCAAGGTGGCCAAAGATGCGCCTGTTGCTGCAGAGGCACTGCAATCGCTCAGCCAGGGTGGCCACAGCAGGGCCTCTCCGCCTGCACCATGTCCCGCTCTGGCTGGCCGCACGACTATAAGTGCGGTGACCTGGTCTTCGGCAAGATGAAGGGCTAACCGCACTGGCCCAGCTGGGTAAGCGCCACTGCCCAGGCCAAAGGGAAAGCGCTGGGGGCTCCATGGTGGCGCGGCCGGGCCTGGCCCTCTCCCCACGGGTTTAAGAAGGGGAGCGCAGCTCCGGTAAGTTTAGCTACAAGAAGCCTGCAGCCGCTGCATCTTTCGGCACAAGAAGCGCCTCCAGGCGCACTGAAAAAAAGAGGCTGCGGCTGCAGGCATCTCGCAACAGGGGAAAATAGGGTTTTAGAATAGGAAATAGAAATTGTGAAGGTGGTCATGTGACTGAATGGCGTGGCTGTGAGTGACATCAAGTTGGTCACGCCCACTCAGTCACAGGAACCCCCCCCCCCAAAGCTACGCACACAGAACCGGTAGAGAAAATTTTTAGATTTCAGCACTGGTGTGGACTTCAACTCCCAGAATTCAATTGTGGTCATACATCGAGGACTACCTGTTCTTGTAAGATCACTTAAAGCTTAAGCAGCAGTTTTCATGAGAGGCAGGAAGGTGCTTTAAAACTCATCCCATCTCCTTGGAGGCATGGAGTTTGTAAGTCACGGGCCTTTTAGGTTGGCGGCTCCTGGTTTGCTAGGTTAGCACTGATTTATTTATTAAACTTATGCACACCCATCTCACCAAAGGTAACTCTCGCTAAATCGTGAAAGCTGTTTTTGGTTGCTTTCGTCTGGGTCTTTGGTTTGGGTCCAGGCTGAGTAATGACTGATCCTCTCAGCTCCTTCGATGCAAGGAGGTGATGGATTAAAACAAGGCTGAGGAAAAAGGGGAGAGAGCAGAAATGGGGAGAGTGGAGGACATGCGAAGAGGTTGCTCGGATGTTGTGAGACACCAGAACTGGCTGAGGAAATGCTGGGGGTTGGAGGCCGAGATGCTACCTGCGCACCTGCTCACACACAGTGCTTGATTCATTTCAGGGGGCTCTTTGCACTGACCCCTCTGGCCCCCAGGAGAGCTTCTGGGGGAGGCAGAGGCTCTGATGGACGTGCTCCTCAGAGGGTAAAGAGGGAGACTGGCCAGGTGATAGGAAGGACGAAAATCGCAGGTGGCGTCAGATCAAAGCCTTCCCGAGAACTCTGGAAATCCTTCGGAAAACCAAGACTGGGCAGCAATTCTGCTGTTTGAAAGCAGCACCAGGAAGATGCCGGCAGCCCAAAGGAGAAGAAACACCCTCCGGTGCTCCGTCCTGCCAGGGAGTCTGGCTTAGCACCAGGACTAGGAGCCTCCCAGGGACCGACTGCTCAGGCACACTCGATTAAGAAATGGATCCGGCCAATTGATTGCATCTTTTCAGTCTAATAAATCTGACTGCAACGAAAATAACTACACTGACTCAACACAGGTGTTAATCAGATAAGAAGTCTCGTGACAGGTAAGCAAAGTTCTTAAATCAAACTTAAGACGAATGCCTGCATCAGCCAACGGCAAGATTGCAGCCTGGGAGATGGAACATTCACCTCTTTCCCTGGCTCCTGCCATTTGTTCCTCCTCTTGTGCCACGGAAACCACACCCTTTCCGTGTCCTGGGCATAAACACCCTCCTTTTGTGGGGGGAGTTGGCTGAGCTTCTATGGGCTGGAAGACCCTGCAGCCCTGAAGCCGACAGGGGACCTCCCTCCGGCTTCCTTTTGGCTTCCTCCAGCTGGAGAGGCAGAGAAAGAAGGGGGCCCACCTAGCAGGATTTGCAAGAGGTTGACCCCCCCCTCCAACCAAGGGCCAGCTGCTCACCTGCTCATTGACTCTCTTGCAGAAGATGGCCAGGAAGAAGACGGCGGCAATGGGTGGACCCAGGTAACTGGTGATGGATTGGATGTAGTCAAAGAGCTGCCCGCTCTGCGCAGACTGGATCACGGGCACCCAGGCGATGCTGATGCCAATCAGGCCCAGGATGAACAGCCTGGGAGGAGGAGAAGGCAGAGAGAGGCCTTGGGTGACACCAACCCAGTCAATGAACCACAAAGGTGCCCAAGAACTTCCTTGGCAGAGGGATCCGAGTCCTGCTTCTCCACATTTGTTTCAGGGGCGACTGAACATTTATTCATAGGTTTATGACTGCAAAGATACGCTTTGCGTGTTTCTATGTTTTTGTTTCTGTTTTCATCTTTTTCCTTCTATGAATATTGTGTATTCCTTTTCTTTGTTTTTTGTCTTAGAAATTAATTGCAAAAAGAAAACAGCAGAAAGGGTGTGGCTGTGGCAGTGCAAATGAAGTCCTGCCCATTTTGTATCTGCATCGCACAGAGAAAATGGGGGCGGGGGGGGTTCACTTTTTTGACCACCCCTGCAGACCCCCTCCCCTTTTTAAAGGGGCAAATAAGTCTACATTTCAATAAACAACCAGATCAACTGAATGACTTGGCGGGTTGTCCCGCCTGTCAATCAGCTCCTTTGTGAAGAGGAGACAGCAAAGTCGCTCGTCCTTTTTGCTGACTCTGCAAGGTGCGCCTTCAATTAAGCCAGGTGCCCTCCAGGGGACGCTGCAGAACTGCCCTTGCCAAGATGCTGCCTGGTCCACCAATTCTTGTAGACTTTAGATAGGAAGCTGTGCAGAACAACGGGTGGAGTGACCCTCCGTCTGTAATTCTTAGGTGAAGAGTGGTATGCAGAGGAAAGAGAAAAGCCATTGCTAGGCAAGGATCTTCAACCTGCCACCAGGGGCACCAAAGTCAGGTTATTTGCCAGCCGGTGACTGACTTTGGTCACTGTTTTTCATTTCCAAAGCCTGGAGGCTGGTTGGAGACCCACCAAAGGAAAGGGAAAGCAGTCTTCCTTGTGCAGCAGCCATTTTGGGAAGGTGACCCCGCAGGTTTCACAAATGCCAAAAGGGTACCTAAAGAGTTTGGCTGCCCTGATCTTGGGCTCCAGCTGACCTTCCTTGCGATTTCCCCTTTGCTGAGCCTTCACTGCTGCTGCCATCGCCAAGCACTTACCTGCCAACAATCATGAGCTCCTTCTCCTTGGCGGTGGAGCGTATTTTGGTGTAGATGTCCATGGTGAAGAGGGTGCTGGCACTATTAAAGATGGAAGTGAGGGAGCTCATCAGCGAGGCCAGCATCACAGAGAGCATCAGGCCTCGTAGCCCTGAAAAATAAAGCAAGGGAGGTGTGAATAGGCAACGCTTTGGTGTGAGCAACTCCAGTTGAGCAAAAACTGGCTGACTGTACAGCCACATGGGTCACATGGGCTGTACAGCCATCTGGCCCAGCAACTGAATGCACAGCTGGAACAAGGCTGTGTGATCAAGGTATGCACTCATCATGCCAGAAGACGCACTTCCTTCATGCACTAAACTAAAGTGGCCTTTTAATGCTTAATAAAAAAGCCACTACGCATCACAATTGCTTTAGGATCAATGTGGCATCCACACGGGTCCTCTTTTTACGGCCGACTGTGGGCAGAAGGCAGCCGGAAGGCCTATCATAATGCACTGCCTTTGGGACATACAATCTTGGGCACAGATCTTAGCCAGCATTGCAGCCCAAGGCACAAATGACCCAACTTCCTGGCCTCATCTCACCATCTGGCATGAGCTCCACCACCATTGTTGGATAGGCAATGTTTGTACAGCCAACCTCTGTCCCACAAATCTTCTTGCACACGGAGGGAACAACACAGGCCACTTTGTCTGTGAGAAAAAAGGAAAGCGTGGTCCCCATGAGTGAGCTGAGCAAGTTGACCTCTCTCTGCCCTCCGCCTCCTGGGTGGACCAGCTCTCACCTTGGTAGAGAATGCGGCTGATCATGCCTGGCATCACCATCAGGAACATGGGCAGCAACTTCAAGTAGCCACACATGATGCAGCCAGCCTTGACGTGGGACATGTTTTTTCCCGAGAGGCATCGCTGGACAATGACCTGCCCAAGAAAGGGGCAAATGAACAAGCACTGAGATAGAACAAAGAACATGGAATCATAGGGTTGGGAGGGACCTTGGAGGTCTTCTAGTCCAACCCTCTGCCAACTACATCATTCCATACAAATGGCTGTCCAGACATTGAGACAAGGCCTCCTTCAGAACAGGCCCTGGGAATGACCTCTGCTCTGAGCCATGATTTTTCCACAAGGGCTGGTTCTGGGGGGAAAGGTTATTCTTTACCAGGGTCTTCCAGATTCAGACATCACTTGGATGCAGTGGGCCTTTCCTTACTCTTAGGGCAAGAATGCTTTGCTTCCATGAATTATGGGAAGATCTTTTGGTTCTATAGGCCCACCTCACCAACACTGTGTCATATCCACTGGCTGGTGCAGCTTTTTGTGTAAGATGTTCAGGCTAGATTCACATGACACACTGAGCCACAAACTAGGCAAGTAGAGTTTCAACTTCTGATTGTACCAATTAGTTTACAGTTCAGTGTATCCTGAAAATCAGCTTCATTCCATAAGCCACAGTTCAGTTAACTTACTCAACATCCTGCAATCAACCATAGTTTGGGAGCAGACTCTCTGAATGTCTGGATTATTTGTTTATTTAATGAATTGATTTAAATGCCAGCCAGAGAATAAGAATTGGGACTGGAGATGCCCTCCAAAGACCAGAACCATAATCAGCCTGCCTCTGCCCAGCACAAGGCCACTCTCATCCACTGAAAGGTGGAGCTGGGGCAGTGATCTGGGCCCACGAGTCCAGATCTTAATGTCCTAGTAGTTCCTAAAACCAAAGCGTTGTCTGTTTAGGTCTCTAAGCACAGGGTCAGGATGATCCCACAGAGAAGACCTGTGTGCAGGGAACATCAAAAATATCAAGAGCATCATGACCCCACCTGGTCAGTGCACCAATACCACAAGGCCAGAATGCTCAAGCCAAAGATGAGTCCTGGCCAAGGGAGGTCGCCGTCCACCGGGTCCCGGAAAATGTGGAAGGCATCTGGACGGGGAGTGTAGCACTTTTCAGGGATGGTCACGTCATCGTAGGAGATGTTGGATGGGATTGCTTTCATATACTTCTCCATCAGGCCCTCGTATCCTCCGACTTCTGTAAATGCTGCAGGAGATCATACAATCGATCACGACAAGGAAGTCTGTAGCAAAGCAGAAGAGTTCTCCTCTCCTGCAAACCCATGTGGTTAGACACACATCAGCTCAGGGGACTGTTGTGAAGGCAGAATTGGACCATTTCCTAGTAGATACATCCTGAAACCTGACCAGTTCTGGCCACAGCTGAGCCTGGGAGTTTGGGAGCTTCAGTTTTGCTTTAAAAAGAACGCCTCCGATCCTTATGCTGCAGGAGAAAACTGGGTTTCTCTAGTCAGCTGAATACTTATGGTTGTGTTCGTGCAACATGCTCACCCTGAGATTAAGTGAACCATTTTCTCAGTTAACACGATGTACGGAGCCAAAGACTGATGCCATGGGCTGGGTTCATACAGCATGTTAACCACCACAATTTTTAAAATCAGTCTGTATTGTTTACTTATTAGATTTACAAGGGGAAATAAACAAGAAAAAATAGACGTCATTTTTACTGCAAAATTAACATTAAAAATCAAGATATTATTTCAACAAAGCAGCGATATGGCTAATGGTCAGGGATGTTGACCTTAAGACTAAATAAGTGCCAGCACATCATAGGTGACTTTAGCTGGAACAAGCCAGAACACACAAAGACACCGGCAATCACCATTGAGACTACATCGCTAAGACAAGCTGAAAAAAGCAGAACAAAATGCCAAATTAAACTTCTCCAGCTGAATCCCAGAAGCAAAGAGGCACTTGAACCTAACTCGGTTGTCAATATGCCCCACCACCCACTGACCACATCCTTCAGAACAAACATGGCTGATGCAAGTCAGCCAGAATTCTCTGCAGCCTTGGAAGTGTGGCTTAAAACCACCAGACGTAAGGCCAACAGCCGCACCACAGACCAGAAGAACACGGAAGCAGAAGCAGCTCGAACTAGAGGGCAGAGCGGTCTCAGAAACCTAAAGGAGGACCAAACCATCCCCATCCCCTCAACAGACGAGGGCTCAGCCACAGTTATCATGGACAGAGCACAGTAAGCCAAAGAACCAAATACAATCCTGGGTTGTATAAACAGAGGCATAGAATCAAGATCACGTGAAGTATTAATGCCGCTTTATAAAACCCTAGTAAGAGTCTTACTTTATAAAACCCTGTAAGACCCCACCTGGAACACTACAATCAGTTTTGGTCACCACACTACAAAAAAAGATGTTGAGCCTTTGAAAAAATTTCAAAGAGCAACTAAGATGATCAAAGGCCTGGAGACTAAAACATATGAAGAATGGCTACAGGATTTGGGTTTGGCTAGTCTAAAACAAAGAAGAATTAGGGGGGACATGATAGCAGTATCCCAGCATTTGAGGCGCTGCTACAAAGAAAAGGGGGTCAACCTATTCTCCAAAGCACCTGAGGGCAGGACAAGAAACAATGGTTGGAAACTAACCAAAGAGAGAAGCAACCTGGAATTAAGGAGAAACTTCCTAATAGTGAGGACAATTAACCAGTGGAACAGAAGTTGCCTTCAGAAATCGTGGGTGCTTCATCACTGGAGGTTTTTAAGAAGAGTCTAGACAATCACTTATCTGAAATGGTAGAGGTGGGTTCTCATACTTGAGCAGGGAGCTGGACTAGAAGACCTCCAAGGTCCCTTCCAGCTCTGTTCGGTTCTGTTCTAACCTATGTCCAGTAAACACGAATCCACATGGATGATCTCGTACCCAGTGCTGCCGAATGATTTCTCATGTATATGTTGAAAATTAAACTAGATCAGAGCCAGCCCACCATACTGAAAGATGCCTAACTTAGACCCTTTGTCAGCCTCAGCTTTGCCTGCTTCAGCTGCCATAAGAAATGGGGGGAGGGACCAGTTAAGGGGGCAAAGGGGGGGAAGATTGCAGGAGGTGTCTTTCCAATGCAGGAGGTGTCTTTCCAAGAAACGAAACTGAATCTCCAAAGGGGCCGGCTGACCAACTGCCCTACATTCCTGACGAATGACGTTGCCAGACGTGATGCCACCTGACCTTTGAGAGACCTTTGGATTGGATGATGGTCAATGGACATGGGGGGGGAGAAGCTTACTAGATGCTATTTCGCGCGTTTTGCTCACTTCCAGCTTTACTGGGTTGCGATCATTTCATATTCAGTAAAAGTACTAATCTCTTTTAAAATATTGAGTTTGGGTTTTTCTTTCCTGGATATTGAAGGAAGCACACCTGACATTAAGCTGGAAGTCACATCCAGTCATCCCGGACAAAAACCGCGGGGACTGTAAATCCAAATTATGTCAGATCGAGAGAGTGACGGAGAACAAATGGGGGCAGCGAGTTCAACTGCAGCAGCCCTCCAAGCAGAGAAAGAGAATGCGGAATGGTTGGAACAACTCCGATTAGAGCCGGAGGAAGCCAGATAGTCGAAAGGCGTGGGGAGGCTACCAGACTGGGGGGAGGACCCCCGGGGAGTGACGACTTCCAGACCCCGTAAGAAAGAGGCAGTGTGGATGCAGGAGCAAAAGGAACGTCTCATGATGGAACAAGCCTTGCAGCTTATCCGTGATGTAGAAGAAAGCAGAAAAAACTGTGAGTCTTTTGGGATTCCTGTGGAGAAGGGGGGAGAAGGCCCCAGGGGGGAGCCAGAAGAGACAGCCTGTGGGGGAGAGGAAGAGTTTGAGGAAGAAACATCCCAGGCTTCGGCAGCTCAAGGGAGAGATGCAGCCGGCCAGAGAACCCCAGCCTTGCAGGCCCCCCCTCGCAGACGTAAAAAGCCAAAAATCCTCCCACTACCTGGGAAGTATGATGGAAATCCGAAAACCTTGGGATTTTTCCTGACCCAAGTGTGGAACCACATGCAGGATTGGGGGGAGGACTACATATCAGATGCTGCCAGAGTGAGAAGTGTCACGAACGCCTTAGAGGGAGTAGCCACTGAGTGGATGGTGGTTCTCCACAATAACAACTCCCTCTTGCTGAGAAATTACAACCAGTTCATGGGGGCCCTTCGGAGGCATTTTGAAGACCACTTAGCTGAACAAAAGGCGAGACTCAGGATGAAGAGCATCCAGCAGGGCCGGAGACCGGTGGCAGAGCATATCCAAGAGTTTCATGAACTGGCACCCTATATGACAGGCTGGTCAGAAATGGCTCTTTTGGAGAGTTTCAAAGATGGGTTGAATGAAGAGATATATCGAGACTGTAGAAGTATGGGGGTCCCCGAAGATTTGCAGAGATGGTACATAGTAGCTGAGGATGTGGAGATCGAACTGAGACGGAGTGAACTCCGAGGAGGGCGTATGGGGGACCAGTAATCTTCCTTCCACCGTAAGGGGGCACCAAAGATGGCTGGGGGGAAGGCCGAATTCAAACCCAAGTCAAAGCCCTTCACCTGTTTCAAATGTGGGAAGGAAGGACACCGGGCTGCCGAATGCTTCTCCAAGCCACTGCCAAAAGCTGCCGGGCCCGGGCCGAAGAAAGGCGACAAAATACCCGCCAAGACCCGCAGCACCGCCCTGAAAGGAGAAGTCATTGAGTTCGCTCCCCGACATCAGGGTGAGTTGGGAACTCCGACCCACAATGACGACAGCGAGACGGACTCCAACTCCGACACCGACGATCGGGTGAATCACATGGAAGAACCCTTGCTCATCCCCGTAGAAGTAAGGGTGCCATCCACAGGGGCCCATGCGCAAATGTTAGCCCTATTGGACTTGGGGTGCACCAGGTGCATAATTAGCCCCAAGGTGGTGGAGGAAATGGGACTAAGACTAAAAACCTTAAAAAGACCCATTGCATTCTGTCAATTAGACGGGTCGATTGCAGGAGGGGGCCCAGCTAGTTTTATGACCGAACCCCTTGAATTGCAGTTGGGGAATCATGTAGAGAATCTCAGATTTATTGTGGCCCCTGGTATGGAGAGACCCCTCATTCTAGGACTGCCCTGGCTTCGAAAATGGAACCCACGGTTGAATTGGAAGACGGGGGTCCTGCGCATACGCACAGCAGAACCGAATCCGGGGAAGGAAGGCCCCCCCTTGAGGGACGACATAAAACCAGAAAGAGCGGCAGTAGCCATTGACTATATTGAGGGAGAAGAGAAGATTCCAAAGGAATATTGGGATCTCAAGGAAGTCTTTAGCGAAAAGGCATCGGATGCTCTGCCTCCCCACAGGGCTACCGACTGCACCATTGAAATACTCCCTGGGGTGAAGCTTCCCAAACCAAAAATTTACCCCATGACACCTCGAGAATTGGGGGAATTGCGAAATTTTATTGACAAGAACCTAGAACGGGGATTCATCGAATGAGCCAAACCGAAGGTGGTGGCGCCAGTAATGTTCCGCGAAAAGAAAGATGGATCCTTTCATTTGGTGGTCGATTATAGAAATATCAACGCGATTTGCGTAGAAAATGTCTACCCCCTCCCACTTATGAAGGACATGTTAGCCCATTTAGGGAAGGGTAAAATTTTCACCAAACTTGATTTAAGAGAGGCTTACTACACCTGACACCCTTCCTCAAGGGGGTGCCACACAGTGAAGGGATGGGCATGTTCTCTGGCATCTATAACCAACTTCAAACTCAGGTCAGATATGAGGAGAAATTTCCTACAGGGAGGAGTTATTAACCAGCCTTGAGAAGAGGAGATTGAGGGCCTTCAGACCAAGGGAGTACCACCCCCTGTCTCATTTGCTTTAGCAGATCCTACACAGAGCAGGGGGTTGGGCTACAGGACCACCAAGGTCTTTTCTAACTCTATGATTCTGTCATTCAAGCGCCTCATGTCTAGACAGATCTGGGCTCCATCCGGCCTTCTTGAAAGCAACTCCCAGCTACCCAGCAAAAGTCTTTCAGGGTCTTTTGGAGGTCTCACCTTAATTCCAGCCATGGTGTACCTGGGGGTACAGGGCAAGGCACTTTCAGTGCTGGTTTTGAACTAGGGCTTACCAAAGACGGTCAGGATGATGGATCCCACCAACATGATGCAGGTCTGCAGTGTGTCTGTGTAGATCACGGCGGCAAGTCCTCCTGCCAGGCAGAGCGAGGGAAGCAGAAGGCTGCGATAAGGGGGGGAAGGCGGCCCAGGGCCGAGCCCACCCCCCCAAAAAAATCCTTGGACTTCTCCATTGGGCTACCCCTCATGCAGGGAAATGGGCAAGGGGCAGACAGGGAGGCTTCCCAAGTGCCAAGGGGCCTGAAAGGTTGGGGACTGAGCCTGACATCAGGGCTGGGAGGCTCACCTGCAAATGGGACTCACCTGTGATGGTGTAAAGGGCCGTGATAGTCAGCAGTATGATGATGGCCACATAAATATTCAGTCCCATAGCAATTTGGATAAATATGGCTCCAGAAAATATATCTGCCTGTGGTGCAAAGGAAGAATTGGCCCGTTAAGCCAGAGCACCAGGGAAGCTTGCGAAAACCCCTTGCAGACGGCAGCAGTGCCTCGAGGGGCCTCTCCATCCACCCCACCTGGAAGGGCTGTGCTGCACGAGGATGTGGCAGGGGCTTTTGGGTGGGCCTGGTTACAGGAGTGCCCCAGAGGAGCAGGAGGGGCCCTGGATCAGCCGTCTCCACTGCTACCAGCCTCTGCCTCTTGGAAGCGGAGAAGGTAATGGCCAACAATAACCTTAGAGACCACCTAGTCCAGCCTCTGCTCAAAGAGGAGCCACCAGCGCAGTCTTTCTGGTTTAAGGAGTCAGAATTAAATGGAGAGAGGGAGAGGCAGGGAGAGCAAATCCTCCGGACCCTGGAGACCCTGTTCCTACAATGGACTGTGAGTGTCTCCTCCTCCCTTTTCTATGCAACCAAGTGGGGTGGGCAGCTTGGCACTTGAGCACCCACAAATGGAGGCCCACTAAGAGGCTGGTCTCAGCCCCCGCCCTCCTCCATCCTCCCATCTTACTCATCCAGTTCCAAAGTTAGAGGTGTGGAATGAAAGGTGCAGCTTCTTGAAAGTGCTGCTTACAGGAACAGCCCATACTCTCCCATCAGCTGCGCCTCCCTCATGGGCTCATGCAACCTGCTGTGGTAGGGCTGACCTAGACCTCCCAGAAAGGGACAGGGTCTCCCCCTCAGAACTGGCTGTGCTAGTTGGCAAAAATAGATTCTAACAGAGTCTGCACCCTAACAGAGCATGGCACTCTTCCTGCTGCTTTGGCACTGCCTGCCTCACAAGAGACGGAGGGCTTGTCTCTCCCTGCCCCTCCAGGAGGCAGCCTGCAGCCAAGAGGCTCCAGCACTGCTCTCTTCACATTCAGGTGTTCGCCCTTCAAGGCAGAACCATCAGCATCTCTCCCACTCCCATCGCGTCCTCTGCTTCTTAGAGGGGCTGCCCTTCCCATCCCATTATAGTTTAATCAGTAACCCTGATAGAGATCACTTATTGCCAGCTAGTGAGAGAAGGCAGGGGCCTTGGGTTAATGAGCACAATTAACTCCTGCCCGTTGTTTACCAGGGCAAAGGGTAGCATCATAGGGCATCTGCAAAGATCAGTGCCCTGGAGAGAGAGATGGGGGGGTGGAGACCTCCCTTGAACTCACTAGCTCTAGGTCTCTTTCCCCTCCCCCCAGGACTTCTTACAGCCCCCACCTCTGAAAAGAAGGGCTTGTAGGAAGTCATCTGCTTTGGAAACAAATTCTGGCAGCCATTTATTTGGGAGCTGAGGGACAAGAGTTCCTTCTGGACTGTGCCCCTCAGAGGTCCATGGGAAGATGGGGGGGGCTCAGGTATCTGGGACTGGCTATCTCTGTGCAGGAGCCCAGATGTTGCAATCCATCCAGTCCAGTTGTGATGTGGGAATACCCAACCCTCATAATAGGAAGGCAGTTGGCCCATCACATGACTGCCTACCCATTAAAGGGTCCCAAGACCCCCTTTTAACTGTCCCTCCACTCCTGACACTCCCTCAAAAGCCCTAGAGGCACCCCCTGGCCCTTCCCCACCCTCTGAGGGTGGAGGGACATCATGTGCCTGAGCTACAGGGAGCTCCATGAAGGTGGCACCATGAAGTTCTTCTATGAGCCTGGAGAAGATTCAACTGCTAAACTCACCGAGATCTTCGTGAAGATGTACAGGAGCAGAGACAGGACTGACAGGTAGATCTGAATCCGTTTCCCTCCGAAGCGCTTCTTCAGATACTCCGGCATGGTGACCACCTGTGAGAGAGGAAAAGGTGCTGATGTGGGGGGAACGGACATCTGATGGGGAGGATCCCAAGAATTGTAGAAGCATGGATTGAAAAAGGGGGGATGCTAATTTTGGCCCACCGTGCATAAAGAACCTCTAGGTCAGCATTTTTCAACCTTGGGAACTTGAAGATGTGTGAATCAAAACCTTGCGAACTTGTGGACTTCAAATCTCAGAATTCCCCAGCCTGCAATGTTGGAAGTCTACACATCTTAAATTTTCCAAGGTTTAGAAACCGAACTCTACCAATGAGGCTATTTAGTGAGTAACCAGGAAAAGGGTGGTTGGCTCCTTTCTTCCCTCCCCCTTTGGCTGTCCTTTCTCCTTCTTGGGGTTTCCATCTGTGTAGAGTGGAGCATCCCGGCCTTCACTTGGCTTCTTCTCTTGAGAAGGGGGAGGAAGGGCCGCAGGAGCAATTCTGCTGGACGTGTTTAAGCTACAAAAAGAAAAGATTGACCCAACCCTGCATCTGGGGCCCACCTGCTGAGAAACCTTGCCAGCATCTTTGCAGGTAATCATCACCTGGAAGGGCAACAGGGCCAGAGATGCTTCTTCTGTAAAGAAGCCTCTGACCTTCTTGTTAAATCTCTTCCTGGGCCCTACCTGGTCCTGGTCCAGGCAGGGAAGGTGTCAAAAAAGGCAGTACTGTTACTTCATTATTATTCAGTTTTTATAGACATTCCATTGCTGACACCCTGAACGCTGCAGGTCCAGAGCCTCTTTCCCCATGCAAATCAAATAACTCAATGGCTTTATTGTGACTCCAGTGGGCCTAAGTCTGTCCTTATAACCACTTATAACCAAACTGCAGCCAAGCAAAGTTTAGGGTGGTCTCGAAGTAGATCTAAAAGTTTGAACTAGATGTCAGTGGGGTGGACAGAAGTGTGGCCAGGTGGCTGCCTTTAACTAACCTTTTTTTGGCCAACAGAATCTGAAACCTCACTTTATACAAAGTCCAGAACAGCTGGTAGAACTATTTGGGCCCCCTTTTAGATAAGAAGAGCCCAACAATGTTCCAGCTGCTGTTAAGGTCCTTGTGGCCCTTCTCAGAGTTGAATGATGGCCAGGAGCTCAGACATTATTCCTCGAGTCCATCAGTCCAAGATCTTCCCAGAGGTGTGTTGTGCATGGAGTGCAGCATTCTAGCTGGACACAGGCCTGCCCAATAGTAAGACTAGAGGAGAGGTGTCCAGTCTCAGCAACTTTAAGACTCGTAGACTTCAGCTCTCAGAATTCCCAGCCAGCAAAGCTGTATATCTTCACAAAGATGTTGGTGAGTTTAGGAGCTGAATCTTCTCCAGGCTCATGGAAGAATCTCATAATGGGAACTTTCATGGAGCTCCCTGAGGCCCAGGCATATGGTGTCCCTCCACCCTCAGGAGGTGGGGAAGGGCCAGGGGGTGCCTCTAGGGGGCTTGAGGGAGCATCAGGATTGGAGGGGGCAATTCCCTCCTCCTTTTCCAAGGAGTTGAAGTCCAGAAGTCTTAAAGTTGTCAAGATTGGGCACTGGACGAGTGCTTCTCTGGAGAGACATAACATCTGGCCAAGGCTGAATTTCCTGCCATCAGGCCTGGCCCCACAGATGCAGGCAGTGCCGTTCCATGCACCTGGAAAGTTAGTCTAGAACAGAGAAACTGTTCCTGGAACAGAGACACAGCTGTCCAGGAGACTGACTGATTTCGGCAAGCAGAAAGAACAAAGTGAGTTGCAGCAAGCATTTGCTGGTGTCTTGTGTCTATTTACAAGCAGCCCAGTTTTGCAGAGTTTCTGCAATGCTCACTTAACTGTCCCCCCATCCAAGTCAGCCCAGGCAGGGCAGCCGAAAGGTTCACCCACATTCGTCTCCACAGATATTGCCAGAACTTTTCTTTCTCCTTTGAAGGAAAAAACCCTCCCGGCCCCAGATGGTATTTACGTAAAATATTTACTTGAACATAAGGATCCAACGTTACCTGGCAAGGAGCTTAAAGCAGGCTGACTATGGCGCTCCCTTAAGAAGCATCCAATATAATGGATAAATATTATAGGATTTTCAACTACGCTGTATTCCTGAACTCACAGAAGCCAATTAGGGGCATTGACTTGTGATCCTAATCAAGCATCTCATCGATTGAAACATTTTTACCTTAAATATTTTAATATTTTACATTTTCAAAATATTTAATGCATTAAAACAGTGATATATTAAATAGCATTTTAGTGCTAAAGTGTGGTATTAATTAATGAGGCTTATGAGACCAGATAGACCCATGTGGGAAAGCTAAAACCACATGAATGTCTTAGTTCCTGTTTTCCTTCATCTGCTGTCATTTTGTAGAACCCCTTTCTCTCTTTTAATTTGGATTTAATCTAAACTTTCTGTGGTGACCTGATAGATTGTGCTTCCCAGAGTCCCCACTATAAGCCAGCATCCCTTCAGGGAGATACCCCCCACCCCCCGAAGCAGCCAACAGAATTGCTGAATCGTCTACTCACCCCGGCCTTGATGTAGATTGGCACAAACACCCAGCCAAGGATCACCACGATCACCAAGGCCTAAAAGAAGAGGAGGGGGAAGAGGGGTTGGCTCTGTCTCTCCCACAGGGCCAGGCAGGAAGGGGAAGAGCCCCCACCCACCAAAGCGCCCCAGCCCCATCACGTGCAAACAAGTTCCTCTTCCAGGTGGGGCGTCCAAGGGGCTTGAGTGGTCTTTTGCCAATCTGCCCCCCCTCCTCCAGGGCAACCACCCCCCTCCAGCTAGTGGGGGCCAGGGTCCCTCTGGAGAGCCTGGAGACGGGCTCAGAATGAGATTTCCAGTGGAGATTCGCACCCAGGACCGACCGAAGGGGAGAGGACTTACGTTCCACTCAAAGCCTCCAATGGCAATTCCTGCAGCCGCCCCGGTCCCTGCCAGGCCCACAAAGTGGCCGCTGCCGATATTACTTGCAAAGAGAGAGGCCCCGATCTGGAGAGGAGGAAAGGGAGGGAGCTGTGGGTCAGGGGCTCAGAGAAGCCACAGAAGATGGAGAACTTTAGGGGCTCCCATGGTCCAGCTTGGCCAAATGCCTTCCAGCCAACAAAGCTTCAGCCAGAAGTACAGGTAGCCCTCGACTTACAACCGTTCGTTTAGTGACCGAAGTTACAAGGGTGGCAAAAAAATTGACTTATGACCATTTTTCACTCTTACAACCATGGCAACATCCCCATGGTCATGTGATCGGACACTTGATAACTGACTCACATTTATGACGGTTGCAGGGTCCTGGGGCCACCTTTTATGACCTTCTGAGAAGGAAAGTCAAGGGTGAAGCCACTTAACAGCCACGTGGTTCCCTTAACAACTGTGGCAAGAAAAGTTGTAAAATGGGGCAAAACTGACAGCTGTCATGTTAAACAACAGAAATGTTGGGCTCAACTCAATTGTGGTCGTAACTCGAGGACTATTTGTAAGCCTCGCAGAGTTGCCAGGAAAGGCTGGGCAGGAATGTCCCATCATCCAGCTAAGTGGCTCAAAATATGGGCTACTCCTATTAAGCATGAGCCGGCCTCTGGGCTGCAGCTGCCAAAAAAGCCAACACAGTTCTAGGTTACATCAACAGAAGGATAGAATCAAGATCATGTGGAGGGTTAATGCCACTTTACGATGCCTTGGTAAGGCCACACTTGGAATCCTGCATCCAGTTTTGGTCAGCATGACATAAAAAAAAGCCGCTGAGACTCTGCAAAGAGTGCAGAAAAGAGCAACCAAGATGATTAGGGACTGGAGGCTAAAAAGTATATGAAGAACAGTTGCTGGAATTGGGTAGGTCTAGTCTAACCAAGAGAAGGACTGGGGGACATGACAACTGTCTTCCAGGACTGTCCCAGAGAAGAGCGGATTGACATATCTGTGCAACACAGCAGCAGGTGTGGCTGAGCTGCCTGCAAGAGGCTCTTCTTGACTTCCTTTGCTCGGAGGCCTCTGGTGTGGCCACAGAACAAATGCCAGCCTTACAGAAGCTTCTGGGCTAAGAAGGAGCTGGAAGTAGCTGAGCTGCGTCTTTGCTGTCCGCCTCCAGGCCAGGAGATGGAGGGACACATCCCTCAAGGCTGCCCTGGTGACTGCAAACCAACTTAGCCTGGCAAAAGCAGCAGAGAACCTGCAATGCGGCCAACATTGGCTAGCCCAAAGGCCTGGCCTGGTTTATGTTGGCTGCCTGTGCAGACTGAATGGTCTTCTGAAAGAGCACAGGAGCCATATTATAAGGAGCCACGTAGGACTTGACAGGTGCTAAACCAAGCATCGTGGGAGTCAGGGGTCCAGTCGGCCTGCAGCCCAAGCAAAATGCCCATGGATAGCAGTGCCCAAGAGAGGAGGGAGGGTTTTCATCACAGACCAAATGGCCAGTAGGAGTGGACAGATCCCACTCCTCACCCAGCAACGAGGGGACAGTTGGGAGCATCCAGAGGAAGAGCTGCATCGGAAGGAGAGGAAAAAGTGAACACGTCATCTGGGAACATCTGAGGACCACTAATGAGGGCACCTTCAGGAGAACATGGTGGAAAACATGGCTACTGGGCTCCTCTGAAGCTTCCCGGCTGCAGGGCAGAAGCCTCTCTTGCCACAAAGCCAAAGGAAGCTCCCACCCTGGAGAATATCCGTTCCCCATCCCCCCACCCCCAGTGCAAAGCAAAGATGCCACCTTTCCAGAGAGGGAGACCGGTGGGAAGAAAGGACTCCCTTGGTGAAACTCACCGGCCACCACACCATGCTCCGGCCGGCCAAGAAGAATCCTCCGACGGTTCCACGGTTGGTCGAGTACATGGCCTGAAGGCAAGGAAAGTAGAGAAATCGGTCACAGGGGAATTCAACTATGGGGGGGAGGGGAGATAGTTTGTTTCCACCGCAGCACCCTCCCAGTTGGAGCCCATCTCCACCAGCCACGCCGGGTTAGTAGTAGTAGTAGTAATAATAATAATAATAATAATAATAATAATAATAATAATAATAATAATAATAATTTTATTTCTATACCGCCGTTCTCCCAAAGGACTCAGGGCGGTGTACAGCCTATTTAAAAACACAAGACAAAACAACAAATAAAAATTTAAAATGATTAAATAAATTTGGCTCAATTTAAAACCCCAGAAATTTAAAATACCCCAATTTAAAATTATTATGTTGATAGCCCGGCCTGGCGGAACAACAGGGTCTTCAGTGCGCAGCGAAACACCCGGAGGTCGGAGATCTTACGTGTTTCTGGGGGCAGTTCATTCCACAGGGCTGGGGCTCCCACAGAGAAGGCCCTCCCCCTGGGTGTCGCCAGCCGACATAACTTGGTCGATGGCACCCTGAGGAGACCCTCTCTGTGGGAGCGGACTGTCTGGTGGGAAGCTATTGGTGGCAGAAGACGGTCTCGAAGGTACCCAGGTCCTATGCCATGGAGCGCTTTAAAGGTGGTAACCAACACTTTGAATCGCACCCGGAAGACCACTGGGAGCCAGTGCAGCTCACGCAGGAGGGGTGTCACGTGGGCACAACGAGTAGCCTTGGGCAGCTTCTGGGTAGGGAGTGCCAGGGAATCCCACAGGTGTAGGCGAGGTCCACAGAATGAAGGAGTGAAGCTGAGCTTCTCTCGCTCGCTCCCTCTATCTCTCTCTTACACACACACACACACACACACACACAGATTTTGGGTGAGGAAGAAGACAACACAAAATCAGTCTGGGGAGCAGTTTGTGCTGAGCCAGGAGTGGTGAGGCTCATCCCACCTTGGGCACAAAGCCGGCTGGCCAGTCCCTCTCTCAGCCCAGGAAGAAGGAGACAGAGCCAACCCCATCCAGAGTCTTGCCAAGAAGAGACTCAGCCAGGACTGACTTCAAGGTGCACATACACACACGCATGCACGCAGACACAGGTCTAATAACTTCTGTGGCCTTTGACATCTGGAGGAGGAAAAGAATCATAAAAATAATTTATCATGGCGTCTCCTATAGATAAAACAAAAGAAAGATTCCAGTTGCTTCCAAAAGGAAAGTCGCTTAGTTTGATGTTCTCCAGAACATTTGGTGTTCTCCAGCTGAGTTTTTAGCTTGCAGACGTTTCCTTACCCAACTAGGCAATATCATCAGTGCAAGTGAGGTTTGCTCCCTGTTTATAGAGAGTAATTTGTCCTGTCAGAATTGGTGTGTGGGGGTGGATTTCCCTTTGGGTACTTCCTTGATTAGGATATTGTTGTATGCCTGATTGTTTGGTGTTCATACCTGCTTATGGGGTGTTGGCTGCATTGATCCTTTTTATCATATGATTCATGTCTGAATGTCTTTTCTTCCTATATGTAAACATTTTTAAATAAAGGTATATAATAAAGGTATATAATATCACTTAAAGGGCATTAGAGAGTGTATTTATTGTTATTTCCTGGCAGTCTCTGTGGCTATTAGAGCTGAGGTGGAGGCGGTTTCTCCTGCCTGTTTTGCATTGGGCTGAGGCTAGCTCTGCCTTTCTTCCTGCATCTTCCAGCCATCCAAACAGGCTACTCAGCTTCATTCCCGTTTCTCTTTCTAATGATCTCACGAGAGGTTTTGCATCGATAAGGAAAGGGACAGTAGATCATCTGATTTCAAAGCATTTCCGTGCTCCATGCCCTTCCTGGATGTCATCCAAATTCTTCAGGTGATAGACCGGGAGGGAGAGGGGGCCTTTTTAAGGGGCTGCCTTTGGGTCCTTGTGGCTTCCACCGGAAGAGACCTTGGTGTAAGCAGTAAGGCAAAAATTGTCTTTTTGTTCCTTGCCTTTTGCGTGATCCCTCAGATGATTGCCATCCATCCATTGTGTTAATTGCGCAGAGAGACGGAGGGCAACTGTGGCTATTACAAATGGGCAGTGACAGTTCCACCGGGCAAGGCGGCGTCCAGGGCTCGTTGCAAAAGAGCAGAAGAGCCACAATTTATCATCAGACCGGGGCCAATTTTATTGTCTTTGCTGCAACTGACCAAAACGGCTGCCTGATGGAATTTCCTCAGCAGAGATTTATGCCAACAGGTGGCTGGGCCACCTATCTCAGGTAACTGAAGACTCCGAAGTCACCTGCTGGCCCCTGACGATGAGCAGCTGCCTGGCCCGCCTGGAGCAGGGCTCCTGCCCTGAAACTCTCAGGTGCTGCCACCCTCTTGAAAGCACCCGGCCTGCGAGCAGGAGGGGCCGTTGTCGCATTCATTCCCAGACTCTGTTTTCAAGATCGGGCCTTTTTAACCAAAGTGCTCTTTCACAAAGATTTCCCAAGCGTTTTAAACTCCGTAGGCTGCTCTTAAGGGATTGATTAAAAGTTAATGCCAAAGCAGCCGTTGCCCCACCTCAGAGCATTATACTGTATGCAGAAAGAGCTTCCTTGATTAAACTCTCCCGTGCATATTTCAACAATGAGTCATTAGGCAGACACTTCCTGGCCATTGATTGACACAAATTGCAGAAAACAGCCGGGAGGGGAGGGGCAGCTGGAGCAGGGATGTCCGCCCCACTTTCTGAAGACCTGCATTGATCTTCACCAAGGGCCAAGTTTTGAATCTCCCCTCCACCCCAAAAAAGTCAGATTTTTTACCACCTGAAAAGAGACAGGAGTGACCCCCCAAAATGGTTTTACTCTGCGGCCCACTTGCCAAAGAGGGTTCCATTCAGATGGGGGTTCGTCTTGAGTGCATCTCCAGTGTGGAAGCGCAGCTCAGGCTGGGGTTGCTCAGCTTTGGCCACTTTCTGATGGGTGGACATCAGCAGTCCAAATTCTCCAGCCACGCGTGAAGTCTGCCCATCTGAAAGTGGTCGTGGCTGAGAATCCCTGGCTTAGACCAAGATTTAGCTGCTCCAGCCAATACTGAGAGTCCCCTGCAAGAACAGCTGGTGGACAGAGAAAGAACAAAGAGATACCCCACCTGCACCCCCAACTTGGCACCTCCTCAAGATGCCCCAGGTGCTCCTCCGTGAGTCCAGCCCTCGGATACCCAGCTCAGCAGGGGCAGGGAAGATGCCTCTGAGCCCAGCCCAGCACCATGCTTGTCCTGGCACCCTCCTTTCCTCTGGGCCCTTTGCCCTCTGTTCCAGGGATGAGCCACCCTGGCTGGCTGACCCCACGTGGAAGGGAACAGAAGGCCACGCTTGGAATCCTGCATTCAGTTTTGGTCACCACAATGTAAACAAAAAAATTGAGACTAGAAAGTGCAGAGAAGAGCAACAAAGATGATTAGGGAACTGGAGGCTAAAACATATGAAGAACGGTTGCTGGAATTGGGTATGTCTAGCTTAATGAAAAGAAGGACTAGGGGTCATGATAGCAGTGTTCAAATATCTAAGTATTTATCATGAAGAGGGAGTTAAGCTATTCTCCAAAGCATCTGAAGACTAATCAAGAAGAGAAGCAACCTAGAACTAAGGAGAAATTTCCTGACAGTTAGAACAATTAATCAGTGGAACAACTTGCCTCCAGAAGTTGTAATTGCTCCAACACTGGAAGTTTTAAAGAAGATGTTGGATAACCATTTGTCTGAAGTGGTGTAGAAGACCTCCAAGGTCCCTCCCAACTCTGTTATTCTAAATTTTCTGGCGCTCCCTGCTCCCCTGGCCAGGCAGCTGTCTTCCATGTGGCCAAAGAAGAAAGGCTGGGATGGCCACTGAGGCAGAGGGCGGCTGTTGGAGATGTTCCTGTTCAAACTGATTAAAGGCCAGTTGGAGCATGAAATGTTTGGGGCCCAAGGAGAGCCCTTTCCCACATCAGGCCTTCAGCCTGCCCAGGAGGCCTTGCTTGCTCACTTGCCTCACTTTTGGAGGGTGCCAAGGAACAGTTGGCCAGGATGAGCAGTTCCATCCCCTTGGCAAACTCTTGGACACATGATGCCCAGGCCTTTTCTTCAGACGGGGCTGGAAAGTTCTCCTTTTTTGCAACTTGAGTGGTGAGGCAAGGGATCAATTTCATTGCTTTTATTAGTTTTCACTGATTTTCAAATGCAGGTTTAGCCTCTGCTGACCCAGATAAAAGGCAGGTTTGCAGCAGGGCTGGGTTTCAAAACCCGTCGCTACTGGTTCGCTTGTGGGTGCGTGTGTGTGACGCTTCTGCGCATGCACAGAAACATCCGGGCGGGTGGGCGGAGCCTCCCGCCACTACCGGTTCACCCGATCTGGGGTGAACCGGTAGCAACCCACCATTGGTCTGTAGTTTTTGGGAGGTGGCAGGGGTCTGCACCCAGAAAACTCAGTGACACCCAACACTGGGCAGGGGGAGGTTTAGCTTTCTGGTTCAGATCCAGGGAGTTCCTGGTTTGTGTGAAGGGAGCAAGGCTGCACCCAGCCCTCGTGGTGTCTAAGAGAAGCACAAAGCTCTTCAGTCTTTGTAGGACCTAAGAAGAAGAAAGGAACCGAGTCCTCTCTGGGCTTGACACTTTCAGAAGTGCAAAGACCATCAGTATAAGAGGCTGCTCAGCACCCCTGCCGAGTCCATGGGCTTTTCTGACCAGAACAAGCTGCCTGTCTTGAGAAGTTGGTCTGGTGCTTAGGAAAGGCTTTGATCCCTTCCCTAAGTGGCCGCTGTGGTTGCTTTCCTGCCAGCAAGAGGATCAACTGGCTGAGAGATCTGCTCTCCATATGGCAAAATAACTCGATTTTCCTCCTTGCCTCCCTCAAGACCTCCTTTGCTGCTCCAGCCATCCAAGCAAGGGCCAAGCTGCCCTTTGGCCTCTCCGTGGCCTTCTCTGTGGTGGGAAGCAACAGACTCAGCGAGGGCCAGAAGGCTCCCCCAGCGTGAGACTTTGCTGTGCTGCCCAAGGCTGGCCGTAGGTCCTGGCAACCTGCCTCTGGGGGGCGATTGAGAGTTGCCCACCACCACCTTGTCTGGTCTCTACTTGAGCCTGGCACTCCTTGGCATTCCCCCCTTCGTCCTGGGAAAGGCCTCCCCCCTGCAGTCCCCTCCAGGCTTTGAACTGAGCCCCTGCCTGGCATGTGTTTCTGGGTCAGGATGTTTGCCCAGGGAGGCTGGGGGTTGTGGCCATGGGGGGAATTGATTGATGCTTCCTTGTTCTTTCCCTCTGAGTTGGCAGCGGATTCTCTTCTGGGCTCCATTCATTGGGGCAATTTCACCGTGTGAGGAGGCACAGGAGACATTGCCCACATGAGCATCTCCCCACCTTGGCAACTTTAAGATCTGAAGACTTCAACTTCCAGGATTCCCCAGCCAGCTTCTCCTTGGAGTTTGGCAAAGGGCTTTGTGGCTGAGATTTGCCTTGGAACAGGATGGAACAGAATTGAATTCTCAGCCTGCTTTAAACCAAGAACCCCCATTGGGAACCTGAACAGACAACGGAGAGTTCCTCTAGGCATGTGCAGAATGTCGGTGCCCCTTTGCTGAAGAGTTGAAAGCCCCCTTGTCTTCCCTTCCTGCAATTCTTCATTGCTGAAGAATTGCTCAATGCTAAAGGGGGCTGCAGCAACCCAGACTCTAGCTGCCTTGGTCCATTTTCTGGGACAATGTGTGGTTCCTTGGGCCTCCTGTCCACTCTTAAGCAGATGGCCCAGATGACGCACACTGCTTGCAAAGGGAGCTTCTTGTCAACCCTTTTAGGTAGTCCAACCAAGAATGCAAACACCACCTACTGTAAACTTACAGTAACAGAAATTGGAAAGTCTGAAAGTGCTTTGCCTTTTTGCCTATATGTAGACCTTGCCTAATGACCACTCATTCAGCGCCTGTCCAAACTTACAATGATGCTGAATGAGTAGTGCTTACACCTGGTCTTCTTACAACAGTTGCAGCATCTCCACGCTCATGTGATGGCCATTTGTGATTTTCCCATACAGCTTCCCACAAGCGAAACCAACGATGAAGCCTGGAAGCCACAGGAGGTTGTCCATAGCAAAGGAGTTCAAATCCCATGCTTGACAATTGCATGGATTCTCAACCAGAAGTGCCGTCACTAAGTGATGTGGCCATGTGATGTCACATCTTATGACCACATTGCTTAGGGATGGATGCACCTTGTGAGACATGCTCTCCAATTCCATTTCTGGTCTCTACTCAGATTCTGTTGGTTGCCTGCAGCTCCTCCTCCTGCCTGCCAAGGTTGTTCTTGCAGCCTACCACATTCCTTCTCAGATGGAAAGGTGCCTGATGGCCTTTGGAACGTCCCGCCCAGGTGGGAATTTTCTGTCCAAAGGAGGAAGCAGCAGTGGGAAAAGATGGGAGCTACCCCCCCACACACACACACACACCTCCAGGGCAGCCATTTCTATGGCAGCCTCCTCTCTTCCATGACCTCAACACCCACCCTTGCCAGTTCACTTCAGCTGCCCAGCAACATCTACCCCACTCCCTCCCTCTGGTCCTTCCATTGCTGCTGCATTTCCCCATCTCCTGCTCAGCAACCCTGGGATGCCAGGTCCTTGGTCCTTGATCCTTCCCAGATCTCCCTGGGTTTACAGATTACAGATCAAGAGAGTTGGAAGGGACTTTGTAAGTCATCTAGTCCAACCCTCTACCCAAGCAGGAGACCCTACACCATTTCTGACAAATGGCAGTCCAATCCCTTCTTGAAAGCTTCCAGTGATGAAACTCCCACTACTTCAGAAGGCAAGCTGTTCCATTGGTTGATTGTTCTTACTATCAGAAAATTCCTCCTTATTTCTAGGTTGAATTTCTCCATGATCAGTTTCCATCCATTATTCCTTGTCTGGCCTTCAGGTACTTTGGAAAATAGGCTGACCCCCTCCTATCTGGGGCAGCCCCTCAAATATTGGAAGATGCTATTCTATCTCTCCTGGTCCTTCTCTTCACTAGACTAGCCCTGCCCAGTTCCAGCAACTGTTCTACCTGGCCCTCCTGGATTTGGTTCCTGGACCCAGATCTTCCAGAAAAGCTACTTCCACTTTCTTATCTGGACTCCACCAACAATGGCAAAGAAAGCTGGCACTTACCCACAAGCCAACTGCTAGGACAACGAGGAAGTAGATGACAATGACCGAGATGTCAGCTGCGTTTGCAATTGCAATGTGAGGGGAGCTCGACTCCTGTTGGGCCAGGACAGTGGTAGCCGCCGGGGTGGCCATCCTGCCAGTTTCGGGGCCTCCAGATCTGGGCTGATCAGCTTCTTCTTAAACCTCCTGGCTGAGTTGTCCAGTTAATGATAAATTTTCTCCTTCCCTTCTGAATAATATGTAACTTGAGATCCCGTTCCTTATCCAGGGATGATCCTTAAGTCCCAACAGGTGCTCTGGCAGAGGCAGCTTCTCTCTGGAGATGCCGCAGAGGGAAGCCCAACTGCACATGCCCTGCAGCAGTAGCTGTGGCAGGTTTTTGTAGTCCTGCAGCAGGTGACTTGGCAGGAGACGCTGGAGGAGGAGTGGCTGGGCTGCTGCTCAGTGAGAAGAGCTCTTTGCTCTGGAGCCTGCCCAGCCAGTTCAGTTCCGAACACGCAAGAACTCCAGATCACTCAGCATCCTGACACATGGGGCTGGGAACTCCCCAAGAAAGTAGGTCTGGCATTCTTACCAGGGTGGCTCATCTATTTGCCAACCTGGAGACCAGAAGATGCACAGAACCCTTCAGGAGCAGGACTTCAAGCCTCAAGATTTTGCTCTTTCTGAGGCCATAATAGGAAATGAACCAAGGCTGGGGTCTCACAAAGGGCACAGTTTTGCCCTGGACTGGTTGATAAATGAACGCCAGAAAGTGGGAATATAGCAAAAGGGCTACCCAATGATATGGTCAAAACTGGTTTGAATGGAGGATGAACTTCTCACAACTCAAAGCTTGTGCCCCAGAAGCCTTTCTGACATTTGCAAGGGATTCTGGGACACACATGCCTGAAAAGAGGGCAACTCTGGGCTGTACAAGGGGGAAGATGGGTTGCTAGGAGGACCAATGTGTGCAGATTTTGTTTTTAGGTGGACAGCTCCCTCTAATTCATGAATGTCCAACCTTGGCAACTCCCAGAATTCCCCAGCTAGGTATGAAGTCCACTAGTCCTAAAGTTGCCAAGATAGGACACCTCTGCTCTAAATGATTCCAACAGAACATTAACAATAATTTCCTAACAAAGACCAGCAGAGAAGACAGCCGTCCCATGTTTAGAGGTTCACATTGGATGCTGATGTTTTTGTGGGAGAAATCCAAGCTCACAGGAGTGATTTTCTGATCCAGGGCATTAAAAACTATGCTCTGGCACCACATTCAATTTGTGCAAATGGTGCGCAGTCAAAGCCCCTAATGTCCCTGAGTGGATCTGCCATCCATCTCGCTTAAGTCAGCAAAGAAGCAGAATTGGAAACAGAAAGACAGAATCCCTCACTACCAAAGAAGGTCGCTGAACAGATCTGAAAGTGTTCACACCAGCAGGTTCCGTGTCTCTCAATTCCTCTTGTTTTGAAGCAACTTTTTCCCTGTTGCGAGCAACGCATAAACGGGAGTTAGCAGCATTCTTGCCAGTTTGCTTACCTTGGCAAGGGAACACTTAATCTCGTGGTTAAACAAGAAGTACCTGGGCAAACAATAATGATTAAACTACAGCTAGCAAAGGAGAAAAATGCATCCTCTGGCCCTGCAATCCTAAACTGAACCCAAGAGAAAACCAACATGAGGCAGGCCTGCCAACTGGGGGAAGATGCCCATTTTAAGATTCTTTCATTTCATATCAGGACCCAGAGAGAATAACAGAGCTGGAAGGGGGCTTGGAGGTCTTCTAGTCCAACCGGGTGCTCAAGCAAGAGACCCTATGTACCATTTCAGACAAATCTCTTCTTAAAAACCTCCAGTGATAGAGGACCCACCACTTCTGGAAGGAAGCATTTTGCCAGTATCTGGACTGAAAGTACCATAAGGAAGTTCAACTTTTTGGGCTCATAAATTTTGTCTTCTCTCAACAAAGCCCCTTTGGGTTTAGAAGCTGCAAAGCATCAAGAAAGTCTCTTCCCCCCCCTCTCTCACTCACACACACACAACGAATGTCTTTGGCTGCTTCATACAATTGTTAAAGATCAATGAACCTTTGCCAGAAAGCAAGTTATTAACCTTAATTGGGACAAGGGCTGACAACTTTTCAACTGTTTACTGGAGCCTAACTTTGAAAAAGCTGGAACTCGACCTTCTAAAAACAAATCTCTGCAGGTAACTTTTCTGTACAAAACCCCCCACTGACCCACCGCTTGCATTACAGACTGAAGCCGGACCAGGTCTTTCAAGCCAACTGGCCCAACCATGAGCAACCAGCATGACTGTGCTCAAACCCCACATGGTGAGGGCTGCTCCAGTGACAATGGGGCCTTGGTGGCATCTACCTGCCCGGCTCACCAGTTTTGGCCTGGCCAAGGAGAAGGTCCATTGTCTGGAATGTGGCCATCCTAGGAGGGGGTCCATCAGGAAGCAATTGGCCCTTCCAGAAGGCTAAGCTGAATTGGAGGCCATTGCTCTAAGGGCAGGAGAAGAAGAGGACCTCAATGGAGCTGAGCCTCGGGCCCCTTGAAGAGAGGGCTCCATCCCCAAGACTCTCTTGTCTCTTCCCAGTGTTTCCTATCTCTGCTTCAGAAAGTCCAATCTGGGTTCTCTACCTCCCCCACAAAAGAGCACCAACTTCCTTCTCTCGTTCTTCTATCTACTCCAGAGGTCTCCAACCTTGGGAACTTTAAGACTTGTGGACTTTAACTCCCAGAATTCCTCAGTCAGCACAGCTGGTTAAGGAATTCTGGAGGTTGAAGTCCACAAGTCTTAAAGTTCCCAAGGTTGGAGACCCCTGATTCTACTCAACAGCCTTCCCTGATTTTCTCCACAGTAAGTTACCTTTCACGGATGAAAAACAAACATTCAAGGAGTCTCTCTTGAAGAAAGGGTTTATGTAAATGATACATGCCATGTAAGCAAGACTTGGAAGCCCAGCCCCTCCCACTTGACAGCTTTTCCAAATGGCCTGGTGTCCAGATGTTTTAGGTTCCAGTCCTACAAATTTAACACAGCTGGAAGGCAGCAGCTGGAAGGTCAAGCACAGGAGTGATTCTGGAGAGAGGAGGTAAAGGAAGGGCCCTACACACAGGTGGAGAATATTGCCTTCTTTCATTGCGTAGCTTTTTAAAAAAATATTGACATTCTTTTTGAAATGTATGTCTTCTCTGCCCTAAGTAGTGTGTCAACCCCAGAGTTGCTGTTATTTGGCAACAATGTCCAGGTTGTGGGTTAGGGTTGGATTCCTTGGCATGGTATGAAAGCCCTGAAGGTGCTGTACTGTTATCCTGTACGCTGGACTTTTCACCCCAAGTAGCTGGTGAGGAGCATTCATCACAAAGTATTGGAGGCACCACCTCATTTCCTTACCTACAAGGACTCCAGGGAAAGCAGGAACAGAGAAGGGAACAGTAACCACCTAAGAAAGATACCAAACATTGCAGAGCAGGAGAAATGGAATACAGAATAACAGAACTGAAAAGGACCTTGGAGGTCTTCTAGTCCAATCCCTTGCTCAGACAGAAAACCCTCCACCATCTCAGACAGGTGGTTGCCCAGGCTCTTCTTGAAAACATCCAAGGATGAAGCTCCCACAACTTCTGGAGGCAACTTCTGTTCCACTGGTTGATTGTTCTCACTGTCAGGAAATTTCTCCTTAATTCTAGGTTGCTTCTCTCCTTGATGAGTTTCCATCCATTACTTCTTGTCGTGCCTTCAGGTGCTTTAGAAAATAGGTTGACTCCCTTGTCTCTGTGGCAGCCCCTCAAATATTGGAAGACTGCTATCATATCACTCCTAAGCCTTCTCTTCGTTAAATTAGAGGAGAGGAGAAAATGATGGAATTGGAGCAGCAACAGAAGGAAAGAAGATGGACAGAGAGACTCTTCATTTCTCAGAGAAGAAAATTTCATTTTTAAAATTTATTTGTTAAATTTATTTGCTGCCTTCCTACCATGGGGATACTCGAGGCAGTTTACAGTAATAAAAAGGGAGAAAATGAAAGGAGTGCAAACAGAAGTAGAATAATATAACCTATAAAATAAACAATGAAAAAGGAACACAATCTGAGAATACATTAATATTCTACAAAGCAGCAAAACTGAAAAAAAACCTTTTATATGTATTTAAGTCAGTTTTTTGTGTTTCGTGGCACTCGACATGCTTTTAAGGGAGAGGAAATATTAGAAGTGCCTTATTAATAGATACCTCCTAATCTCTGGGGATGATTAGCTATTCACCTTCCCCTCTGTCTAAGTAAAGTTGGTAATGATTGCAGGATCCCAGAGTTAAATGTGGGAATGCAGGGGAGGACAAGACGTGGGAGCATCAGCACAAAAGTGAGGCCCAGGCAGCAGATCCGCCCAGAGGTCAAAATAGTGGTACCCATTTGCACTTTTGCAAAATCAGGGCAAGGCAAGTGCAGGCAAATCCCCCACCCACCCACTGCACACGCACCCACCCCAAGGCAAAAGGGCCCCCTTCAGGCTGAGAAGCCTCCCCCTGGCTGGGTAACCTAGGCTTACCTGGAATTTTAGGCTTCATGCAGAGGTGGGCTGCTGCCGGCTCCGACTGGTTCAGGCGAACTGGTAGTTCCGACCACCCACCGTGGTGGTATCCCATCCTATATATCTCGCTCTCTGGCTCACTCGCCCCACCCACGCAGCCCGTCTGATTGCCGCGCCTCACCCGCTCTGCTTACCGAGAAGGGGTGCTGGAAGCCGCGTGCATGAAATCGCCACGTATTTGAAGCCGGGCTCTCACATTTTTGGTTCGGCACTAGGTGAACCGTTTGTTAAATGATGTGAAGCCCCCTCTGGCTTCACGGTTAGCATCTGAGAAGCTGATCTTAGTTCTCTTAACATGGCAGTCCAGATCTCTTTTTTAACTTTATGTTTTTTACTTCTTAGCCAAGGCCATTTCTTTTGGTATGTGAGACCTTGCTTTTCAGCAACTACACAATAGAGTTGTGGTTTTTTTCTTTGAAAAAGTTTCACTTCTTATCCAAAGAACTGAAGAAGCTTCTTGGATGAGAAGTGAAACTTTTCAAGGCAAAAAACAAGAAAATCCAGTTGCCTTTTGGGAAAAGCACCTTTGAGACAACCATGACCTGGATGACTGAAAACCTCCGTAGACATTTATGCAATTGACAGCATATTCTGAAGTCCTTGAAGGTTTTAAGAGAGATACGAACCCAATTGTGAAAGAGCAACGTAACCCATCAATTGGCCATTTATGGAATGTTATTAAGAATTCTACTAAATGTTGCTACTATTCAACTTTCACATGTAATCAATTAATGGGTTTGATCATT